TAATCAGGACTCCCTAGTGAAAAAATGAACCACATTCCATTCAAGTCAAGGCTCAGGATGAAACAAAAAATGACTTTGTATGTTGGAGAAGGTAGTCCACTGATCCACGATCTGGAGAAGTTCCAAAAATATGTCTCTATCTGGGGGAAGAAAAAGCTTGCAATGTTCCTGCTGATGGGTTGACATTTCAGAAGCACGGGGCGAAACCTGCCGATGACATTTGCAGCACAGATTTCCTGGAATTGTAAAAGCTCAAGAAAGCGTTTGGTCGACCGTCTCCTGTTGCAATTGCACGGAGGAAATGGGTGCGACCCTGGCCACATAGCTGGGATTTGGGAAGTCTTTTTCAAGAGACAGCATTTCTCCAGCCCTGGCTTCAGCTAAAACAAAACTTTTGCACACAGATCTGTGCAAGAATAGGCTACCTCTGGCAACATAACTCATTCTCGATGCAGTAACCGGATCCCTGAAAAACCCAGCGTAGTACACTTTTGGTCTATTATTTGTTTGTGTACCTAAAAGATTTTTAAATGATTAGATTATCTCAAGAGGAAGCAAGCTTTAGATGTTGTACAGCGAAATGTGCCAGGGAGGGTTTGCAAGTGGTCCGTCTTCACCAAATCCCAGTCTGTCCTACATTTTTGCCTAAATCATCACTTAGGAAATGCTTCTGGCACGTTCAGCTTGTCCCGTCTGAGAAAAATAATAGGAACCAGCTGCTAAAACACAAAAGCAGGAAGGCAAGGAGCAGCCCTTTTGGAACATAGAGAGCAAAGAATGTGAAAATCAGGAATTCATTAGGAAACCTATCGCCGTTAGAAAAACGTCAAAACCTCCTGGAGAAGTTCAATCGCTTCAATAATAATATACTTCTTTTGATTTAAGTTGCAAAAATGTCCCATGCAGGAGAAATTAGGGCAAGGATCAATTTTCCCTTTTTGGGGGGGCTAAGACGGTTGCCCTGTCCCGGGGCCATCTGATCCCCTTTTGTGACCTTCTGACAAGGGAAGTCAGATTCACTTAACAACCGTGTTCCTAATTTAAGAACTGCAGTGTTTCACTTAACAACTGGGGCAAAAAAAGGTCGTAAAATGGGGCAAAATTTACTTAACAACCTAAATTTGGGGCTCAATTGTGGTCATAAGTCGAGGACTCCCTGTAGAGAGGAGGGAATAAAAGCCAGCCTTTCTAGTGCACTGTGGGTAGCCGCCATCTTGACTTTTTTGACCGGATCCTGCCAGATCCCTCTGCTGCAAAGCCTGCAGTGTTCTTCCGTGGGAATCCTTGGAAAACCTTGGATGCTTCAGAGATTTCCGTCTCCATGGCGACAGTCTGTGCTGCTGCAGCGGAGAAGGACGTCTTTGCAACTCCACAGGAAGAAGTTTGCAAATGTGGCTTTGGAAAGAGGATGTTTGGGCTTTTTTTCATCCTTCTTGCGGGCGTCACGTTCCGCAATCGCCGTCATCCGACGGAGGGTCCCGGCAAACACCTTTCGTCATTTTCTGACGTAGGGATAAAAAGCAGCCAGAACAACCGAGTTTTTCCTCTCTGTACACAAAACAAAAAACATTTACAGGTAGTCCTTGACTTATAACCACAACCGAGGCCAACATTTCCAGTGCTAAGCAAGACAGTTAAGTGAGGTTTGACCTGTTTTACAAGCTAGGTGAATCACTGCAGTTGTTAAGTTAGTGACTCTGCCTGCCCCGTTGACTTTGCTTTCCAGAAGTTACAAAAGGAGGTCACATAACCTCGGGACTCTGCGACCGTCATAAACATGACACAGCGAACAAGTGCCCGAATTTTGATCATGTGACCATGGGAATGCTGCAAGGATCGTCAGTATGGAAAACTGCCATAAATCACTTTAGTGACATTGTAACTTCAGTCACTAAATGAACAGCTACAAGTCGAGGACTCCCTCTACATGTTTTAATCCTCTTTCCAGGTACAAAGTAGGTTTGTCAGTCCCATCCAACTGGGATTGGCAACTAGAGCAGATATTAGCCACCAACTGTAGCTGATTTCCCTATAAATGGATCTTTCATACATAAGAATTTTATACGTGGGAAAGGACTATGGGGGGTGCTTAACTTATGACCAGGAACCAATCTTGATTTCTTCTGACATCTACTAATAGATATAAAATATTGATGGAGAAGAATATTTGTAGTTCAGGGTTCCTTGTACTCTCTGAGCTTGGTTGTTTTCTTGCAGACTTTTCATAACCAAACTAGATAACACTATCAGTTCTTGAAAAGAGTGGGCTTTGTGGAATGGAGGAGGAGGAGGAGGAAGGAAGAGGAAGAGGGTGGTGGTGATGGTGGAGGAGGAATGTGGAATCCTTGGTACTCTCTGAGCTTGGTTGCTTTTTTACAGACATTTCATTACCGAACTAGGTAACGTCATCAGTGTAGCACACTCAGACATTCAATATATATCTTGCATTTTTTTCATTGTGCCCAATGGGATCATTTTAATTTCCATCAAGAGCACATTATTGGCCCTTTACTTGGCAGAAAAAAGATGCCGGAGTAATTAAGGTGGCTCAGGTGACCGAGCCCTCTTCTGCCTCGGGAGCAAGGCTGATGGATGATGCTCTCCTTTAATGAGGGGTAATTTAAGGACCAGATTTGGTGGATTCCCTCGGCTTCATTTCCTCTCTTACAGAGTGTCTACCACACTTCCCAAAGACTGCTAAGCACATGTTTAGCAGCAGGTCAAATGTTCTTTCAGAAAAATACCCAACCCACGGACAGCTAAAGCCTGACAGTGCCTGAGGATGCTTTGTGATGCCCTGTTCTGGCATCTGGCAGAGAAATGCCTCTTTGGAAGTACGGATAGTCCTCGGCTACCTGTATTTGAATGTATTCTGAGCAGGCACCCCAGGATTTCTGCTAGAAGAAATCTACCTGTGAGAAGCATTGGAACATCAGAACAGTTTTCCATATTAATCAGAATGCTGCAGTTTTGGTTTTGGACAGACATCTGGTATTTTTATATTAGGGAAGAGGCAGAAATCCAAAGAGGCAGAACAGAGCCCAGGGATTTGATGCCACGTTGTGTGAATCAAGCTTTTTGGGCTGTGTTCCTGCTAAATGTTTTTCCAAATCCCAACCACATCAATGGAAACCTCTCCCAAAATATCAGTTGTGCTTTGGAAGGTCTGCTTCTCCAGGGGCTTAAAAACACGGAAGGGGAAAAGTTCATTTCCCCATCTGTGCTGCGTAAAATGGATGGTTTCTTGGTGAATACAGAACGGAAAAATTCATAGCACATGGAATAATGGATTTGAAAAGGACGTTGGAGGTCTTCTAGTCCAACCCCCTCCAGCAGGATACCATGTACCATTCCAGCCCAGTCTCTTCTTAAAAGCCTCCAGTGTTGGAGCACCCACAATTTTTTCGTGGTTTAGTGGTGGATGGAAAGAAGCCAGGAGGAGGAATTGAGTGACGTTCTGCTTCCACCTCCGTGCGTGGAAGCCCAATGCTTATCAAGGCAATGTGCATTTTTTTAAAAAGTTGTAGCATTGAAAAACAGGAAATTGTACCTGGCCTATGGTTTCCAAAGTGTCAGGGTTGTGTGACCACAGGGGAGGACACTCAACCATGCTTTGTCATGTCACCTGTTTTGCATCTTCTGGAGAGTGCAATCTTACTCATCATGGGCGGTTCAGCGGCGTTTAGTGTGTTCTACAAATTCATCCAGAGGTTGCCTAAGCAGGATTGTCAGAACTGCCAATCTGCAACGCTAGGCATTGCCTGCTGCCAGCCTGCCATGTTTAATGGGGAGGGAGAACTGCGGGGTGGCATAAGGGAGAGTTAGCATGGGAGGAATCAAAACTTAAGCATTGGACTGTCCTGTGAGAGCCGCCAGCCATTCCAAAGTCACACTAAGGAACGCAGAACCGCTCAGCCCACGAAGACGGGGACTGTTACCCAAACAATTTGTTAGTATCTAATTCAGTGTTTCTCAACCTGGGCAACTTTAAGATGGATGGACTTCAACTCCCAGAATTCCCCAGCCAGCAGTCCATCCATCTTAAAGTTGCCCAGGTTGAGAAACACTGATCTAATTGGACATTTGTTGATCACCGGGGGGGAAGGGGGGAACAAGGGAAAGTTAACCATATGCTTTGGGTGCAAAAACCTCAGATCCAGCTTTGCTTCTTCTGTAACCACTTGGTTTTTAATAACTCCCAGAATTCCTGAGCCAGCATAAAAGAGCCAAGATTGCCTACCCCTGGCCTAATGGGGGGGAAAAAAACCTGCCTTTTATAATAATATAATAACAATTATAATAACAATCACCATCTTCTCCTCCTCCTGGAAGGAGCTACGCTCACATTAGGTGCAAAGTCCTCGTGGCTGCCCTCTAGCGGTCGTGCTGGCCCACAGGAAAATTCTTAAAGCAGGGGTTCCGACAGAGTCTGCGCACGCGACTCGCGCATGCCCGGAAGGGGCGGCCCCTGGGGATCCCGGAACCTAATTTCGCAGCCGTGGTGGCGGCGGGGAATGTTTTGGACTTCCCCCAGGGCGGCGTGGGGGGGGGATGAGGAGGCAGGGGAGCCCCGGCCCTGGGGAAGACTGACGCGGCGCACCTCGGCTTCCTGCCGGAGACCCCGCTGGAAACGAGCCGGCCGGTTTGATTGGAGGTCCGAAACAGCGAAGGTGAGCAGAGAAGATTGAACGCGGATGGGAGACCACCAGGAAAGCCCTGGGCGGAAGTGGGGGGGGTGTCTGCCTCCTGCTCAACTAGAATCCAAATTACAGCATCCCAGTAGATGATTATCCAATATTTGCTTGAATGCATCCTGTAAAGGGGAGCCCGCCACTACTCTGGAGATAAACCCAGCCTGTACATACCAAACAATCTCACAGTAGCTTTTTTAAAATTGATAAAAGTTGAGTTAGCAGGTGTCAGTGAACACGCTCATATAATTTGAAAGAGAGAGACAGAGAATGCTGAAAATCTTATTTTATTTCCTCTGCAGAGATTTTTCCTTCTGCATTTGACAGCACAAAACAAGGGCCACCATGCCAACTGTTGTGGTCATTGATGTGTCCCTCTCCATGACCCGGCCGGTCTCCATTGAAGGCTCTGAAGAGTATCAGCGGAAGCATTTAGCAGCCCATGGTCTGACAATGCTTTTTGAACACATGGCTACCAACTACAAATTGGAGTTTACCGCCTTGGTTGTGTTTTCATCTCTTTGGGAGCTGATGGTCCCCTTTACAAGAGACTATAACACTCTACAGGTGCAGTATAAAAGCAATGATCTGCGCTTCTATTAAATTGTCACATGCTGCATATAAATAGATTATAAATTCATATGATATTTTTGTCTCTCTGTGATCCTCTTGTGGATGGGTCGCTATATAAATTTGCTTTCTAAATAATAACGTACAGAAGTGCCTTCATCATGTTACATCAGCCTATCCCACCTGGTCCGGCACTCTCCCCCCAGAAGTGAAGTGGACCCCAGTTTCCTGACCTTCCATAAAGGTGTAAAAACATACTCTGTGCCCTTGCTTGGGGCATGCAGATGGGCATGCAGCCACAGGGTGGATTGGTGCCCTAAAAGATTAGGGCACTAAAAGCAGCCTTTCAGTCATTTCTTAACATTCGATGCCTCTTTTAAATCTTACACATTGTTTTTTATGCTTTTAATATTTTATTGTGTACCATACAGCAGGAGTCTTCAAACTTGGCCCTTTTATGACTTGTGGTTTTCAGCTCCCAGAATTCCTCAGCCTGGCTGAGGAATTCTGGGAGTTGAAGTCCACAAGTCATAAAAGGGCCAAGTTTGAAGACCTCTGGTCTAAGTTAACCATGTCAGTTTGGAAGCCGAGCTTTCTTTTAGTCCAGCCCAATAAGTGTCCACTTTCTTTCCCAGGAAGCTTTGAGTAATATAGATGATTATGACAAAACGTGCTTGGAGTCAGCCCTGCTAGGAGTTTGCAGTATCGTGCAGCAAGAATGGGGCGCTGCCATTCCTTGCCAGGTTGTCCTGGTCACAGATGGCAGCTTGGGCATCGGCAGGGGCTCCCTCCGCCACTCTCTGTCCACACTCAGCCAGCGGAGTGAAAGCAACCGGTTCCCGCTGCCTTTTCCGTTCCCGTCCAAGCTGTACGTCATGTGCATGGCTAACCTGGAAGAGGTGAGTCCCCTTTTTAGAGCCAGGAGGGGATATAATTAAATCAACCCTCCATTTGCATTGGCCTTAATGCTGATTGGGAGGGGAGGCATATGCTGGCTGAGGAATTCTGGGAGTTGAAGTCCACAAGTCATAAAAGGGCCAAGTTTGAAGACCCCCTGCATGGAGCAATGAGACTGATAGCGAATTTAAATTGAGGTGAGGCCGGGGAAGGGAGGGAAAAGCTGGTGGGCTGTGCAGATGTCGTTAACATGAGAGGTATATTACTACAAGTAATTTGTCAATTAAGAATTGGGGTAAGCCTGAATTTGATACATGTGAGTTCAGCAATCTCTTGCACAATTACAGTATTTTAAAGTTTCTTTTTTCCCCAAAAGGGCTGGTTTATGATCTGTCATGTCCTAGGAGGTTGAAAGGTTATTTCTCTGGTATTATTTTGCGCTTTTCTCTCATCAAACCTGTGTCCATTAATTATTTTGGGCAAAGTTTGACCTGTCTGTCCTGCCAGTGAAATCTACCTCAGGGGTGTCAAACTCTCAACGTCACGTGACGTGTCACGATGTATCGTGACGTTTTGGCCATTGCCAGCAATGGGGTGGGTGATGCATCCGGCAGTTTGACACCCCTGCTCTACACGCAAGGACACTTAGATACATACAAAGCAGAGCAGACAAATAAATAGCTGTGGGTTTTTTTTGCTGATTATTGGAAGTTCCCTTCTGTGATTAAAAAAAAAATATCTAACGTTCTGATATGATTTTTCCCTCGTGTGTAAAACGGTTTCCTTTCCATTTGAAGCTCCAGAGCTCCGATTCGCTAGACTGCCTTGAACGGCTGATTGACCTAAATAATGGAGAGGGGCAGATTTTTACCATCGATGGACCCCTTTGCTTGAAAAATGTGCAGTCGATGTTTGGGTAAGCAATCTTGGTTAAGAGTCATCGCCTTCAATTACAGTCTGGGTTTCATCAAGTTCTTTCAATCTGGTGCCCTCTAGATCAGGGTTGCTCAACCTCGACAACTTTTTAAGACGTGGAAGCTAACTTGAACAAGCTCCCCTCAGAGTGATTTATTCCTGTGGATTTTTACTAGTGATCCTCTCTTGCCCTAGGAAGCTAATAGACGTGGCATATACACCCTTCCATGCCGTTCTGAAATGTGGCCACTTGTCTTCAGACGTCCAAGCTTTCCCGAGACCGGAGCCGTTCATTATAGATGAAGAAATCGATCCAATCCCTAAAACAATTAATACAGGTAAACGTCGTCTTCTCTGCAATGAATTTGGTCCTTGCTCTCTTCTAATCCACTCTCTTCCTCCGCCTTAAAAGACCACAACATCTAGCCATCACGCCCAATAGAATAAGTGTGTAAAAAGGGAGCTATCGCCTAAAAGCAAAAATCCATTAATTTCCCCGTTTCTGATGCTGACCAGTTAGAGGCTTCCAGGATGCTGAAGGGCAGGGGCTCTTCCCTGCTGCTGACCCCCCAGCCAGTGGCAGCCTGAGAGACCTGGTGCCTCCAGCCCTGGAGGAAGGGATACATCCCTGCTGTTTTCTTGACCCAATAGCACTTATAGCAATAGCACTTAGACTTACATACCGCTTCACAGTGCTTTACAAGATACAGTAGTCCAGTTGCCTTTTGGAAAAGCCCCCTTGGGGCAATCGTGATCTGGATGACTGAGAAACTCCCTAGACCAGGGGTAGGCAACCTTGGCTCTTTTATGACTCGTGGAATTCTGGGAGTTGAAGTCCACAAGTCATAAAAGCTTGCCTACCCCTGCCCTAGACCTTTCACCCGTGTGAAATGAAAACAAAGTCCTCGGGATCCTTTTTTTGTATGTAGATCTGGAAATTGTTGGCTTCATTGACATAGCAGATATCGCCAGCCCCCCGGTCCTGTCCAGACACCTGGTGTTGCCTATCGCACTCAACAAAGGTGAGCAATCTGCCCTCCCCCCCCCCTCTGGCAGTTCTCCAGTGTGGCAGCCCCACCAGACAGGGCAGATTCTGATGGCTTTCTGTTCTCTTCCTGCCTAGAAGGAGACGAGGTGGGTCCAGGGATTGCTGAAGACGTTGAAGACGAGAACTCAGCCAATCAGATTGCGGGAAAGATCCCCAACTTTTGCGTGCTCCTTCACGGAAGTTTGAAGGTGGAAGGGATGGTGGCTGTTGTGCAGCTCGGGTATGGCAGCTGGCTGGCCTCTGGGTGGGTGGTGGCAACATGGACACAGCCAATGTCAGGGCCCACTGGAGAAGAGCCTAATGCTGGGAAAGATGGAGGGCAAGAGAAGAAGGGGACGACAGAGAAGGAGATGGCTGGATGGAGTCCCTGAAGCAGGAGGCGTGAGCTTCAATGGACTCCAGAAGATGGTAGGAAAGGTCGTAAAATGGCGCCAGGCTCCCTTAGGAACTGTCTCACTTGGCAACCTAAATGTTTTCTTCTAAGCAACAACAGCTGGTTCATTGCGAATGATCTGGTCCTTCCTTTCAGACCCGAATGGTATGGAATGCTCTATTCTCAAGCCGACAGCAAGAAAAAGTCCAACCTAATGATGTCTCTCTTTGAGCCAGGACCAGAGCCACTTCCTTGGCTGGGCAAGATGGCCCAGCTCGGTCCCATCTCAGGTACTGGCGATGCTGGTGGTTGTTGTTCTGGGAGTTGAAGTCCACGAGTCATAAAAGGGCCGAGTTTGAAGACCCCCCTGCTGTACACCTTATTTATTTATTTTTCAGATGCAAAGGAGAACCCGTACGGGGAAGATGACAACAAGAGCCCCTTCCCTTTGCAGCCCAAACACAAACGAAGCTACGCTCAGAACGTCACGGTGTGGATTAAACCAAACGGTCTGCAGGTAAGCCAGCAGGATCCAACTTTGCTCCCTGCGAGCAGACAAAGCTCCTTTACTAAAAAGATGAATAAGAACAGCAACCTTTCCTGAAAGATGGCCCCTCTTTCCCTTTCCTTCAATGCCCGAGAAGCATTGCGTAATTTAGCAGCGCTCTCTTCCTGTGGGCACCTGGCAGGACCAGCCTATCCAACAGTCCACAGGGCTCCCTTTGCTGAACAGATGACGCAAATACGGCCCGTGATAGTCTTCAGCACGTCGGTTGCACGGTTTTTATTCCTATTTGTCCAAGTTCATCGGCCTGTTTGCTTTCCATGGGTGTGCAGGATGGAGTTTTGGACAAACTCAGGTCCTGTTGGTGCTTCTGAACAGCGGTGCTCAGGTGTTGAAAGCAGAGGCCATTAAACCAGAATGCATCTCTTGCTTTTCCAACGGAGCAAAGCAAGGAAGAGTAATCTCTTTAACTCCGCTTTGGGTCAGAAGGCCAAATACGACTTTTGTGTCTTCTCCACTCCTCCACAGACTGACGTGCAGAAGATACTCAGGAATGCAAGGAAGCTCCCTGAGAAAACGCTGACCTTCTATAAGGTGAGTGGTGGAAACAGAAGGCCGATGTCCAACTCTTATTCAACAGTCTCATTTTGGGACTGGGCGGATGCAAACTTGAAAATACTCGGTGAAACGGTGGGGTGGCTTTGAAAGAGACCACGACGAAGCACAATAGCCTTAGCCGGTCTCTAGCACGGACCCTGTGCCAGCCCTTCGAGGTAGTCCAGACAAGAAGCACAAACCATGAGTACAAAAACTACCTTCATTGTAAGGTACAATAACGTATTTGAGGGGCTCCTAAAAAGACAAGAAAGTCAAGCTATTCTCCTTCTGGGGGCTGACCAGCTTTGCATGAAAGTTGTCTGTGTCCTTTTCTCCTGCCTCCCAAGATCATTCCCACATACCATTTTGCTCTTCATGTCCAGTGTACCCCAGGCTGTCATGCAGCTTGTAGGCACCCTCGGCTGAAAATATTCCAGCTTCCTATATCAAAACTGTGTCCAGATATCTTCCATTATGACTCTTCTCTCTCTGCAGTGCAGCCAGTAATCATTAACTTAGTTGAGTTTGCTGCCAGAGCCCTTTTTTAAAAAATTTCCTTTGTTTATTATGACATTTATTTGCCACCCATCTCGTTTCAAAGTGACTCTGGGTGACTTACAATATTACAAAACATTACAGGTATTAAATATAAATATGCCCAATAAAATCACAACAGCATAAAACAGAATATTGATTTCCCATTCCTTTTTCCAGAATCCAATCATTTATTGGGGGGTGGGATTCAAGAATTGTTTTTTTTTCCCGAGCCAGAGTGATCCTGCTGGGCTCACGGTGATTTCCCTTGGCTTGGCTTTTCCAGGAACTAAACCGGCTGCGAAAGGCCGCCTTAGCCTTTGGGTTTTTGGACCTGCTGAAAGGGGTGGCGGATATCCTGGAGAGAGAGTGCACTCTTCTGCCTGACACGGCGCATCCCGACGCGGCCTTCCAGCTCACTCATGCAGCCCAGCAGCTCAAAATGGCGAGCTCCGGATCCTCCGAGTACGCGACTTACGACCACAACATCACACCACTGCAGACCGACTTCTCTGGCAGCGGGACGGAGCGGATGTGATGAGAACTTGGGTAGAGACTCTGTGGAGAATTCCCGTTCTAGTCGGTGTCGAGACTGCTTCCCTCACCCAGATTGGATTTTTATTAAACTTTGCTCCATTTGTATTTCACTTTTCTTTTCGTCATAAAAACACCCAGGGAGGGTGTTCCCATCTCTAAAATCAGCCCACGACAGATCATCTCCAAATGCAGCATTTACCCAGATGTTAAAGTACATCTGTAGCCAGGCGAAGGAATAAAACCTTTCCCGTCTGGGTAATATAATAACTGAACGTTGAGCTGCCTTGCTACCTATAGCAAAGCCAGAGATGCAGGAACACAAGGATGTTTTTAGAAGGATTTATTATTAGAAATACGCTTTGGGTTTGCCTTGTCCAAAACTTGCCAATACAGATTCATAACAAAGTGCCTGCACTGTAACCCATTAAGCTAACCTCCCCAACTCCAAATACTTTAATAGCCCTCTTTGTGGGGTACCCCGGGGAGGGGGGCGGTGGAGAGGAACCCAGCTGAAGATTAAGAGGGGTGAAAAATGTTAAAATGCCACCCCCAGATGCTCTCCCTGCCGAGAAGGAAAATTAGCCTCAAGACAGCAGCCCAGGATTTGGGGTCCAAAACTCATTTCCCCAACTGGAGAAACAAAAAAAAAACTCCCATCGTCTTGAGAAGGCGATGCTTGCCTTCAGATTGCCGTGAGTGACTCTCGCCAAAATAGACGTTAACTTCTTCACCTTTTCTTCCCTTCATGTCTGAATGGCACTTTCCTGAAATCTAGTACTGCAGTCCTCTTGTTGGAAAGTTGACAGAATCAATATTCTTAAGCCAGAAACAGTCAAAAAGCTTTTGTCGAGCCTACAAGGATTTGAACCAGCTCTGTTCTTGATCAGAAGAAGTCTCTACTCCCTGGGGTTTTTCCGCAGAGGCCTGCTGTATTTTTAAATTGGACTGAGGTTTTCATTACTTGTGTATCAGGAAGTTTACGGATTATAAAGAATCTAAAATGAGAACACCACTAGGAAGAATTAGACAATGAATTTGCCCCTCCAGATTTAGCCATGTTCACTGTCAGGGTAAGGAAAAAGTAAAATTGATCCCAACAAACCACTCACTTCTTTAAAGGCACAGGAAAGTTTCTCCCAGGTCACCCTTAACGAGTCTTAACTCTGTTTCTAGGTTCTTCAGATCCTCCTCAAATTGGTGTTTGGAAAACCCTTTTCTACATCTCTCAGGTGTCGGAGTTTTTATGTTTTCCCCCCCTGGAAAGCAGCTTTGTTTTCACTAAAGGCTCCAGGTCTATTTCATAGGAAAGAAGATTTTAAGCATGGATCCCCTGCTTAGTTCACCCGAGAAGGGAGTGAGGTGCAAAGAAAAAATGTTAATCGGATGGCTCTATTTTCTAGTATCACGCAGGGAAGACGTGTGTCATCATGACTACAAAATTGGGTTTTGGATTAACGGAGCAAGGAAAGGGGTTTGCAAGAGCCCTAGGCCTACCCCCTCCACCCTCCTTCGTGGAAGATTAGAAAAAGAGACTCCAACTAGTGCATTTTCCTCTTTTTGGGTCCAAGGCATCGCTGCCGCTGCTTGTACATATGACGGAAAAGGATAAACGGTGCTGAAAGAAAAAAAAAATGGAGGAAGGGTGAGTTTTCCTTCTCGAGGTTAGAAAAGGAAGCAAAAACATACTGTGTAAGGTTTTCTCAACCTTGAGAACTTTTAAGATGGGTGGACTTCAACTCCCAGAATTCCCCAGCCAGCATGATGAACCATCCTGGCAAGGTTTCTCAAACTTGAGGACTCTTAAGATGGGTGGACTTCAACTCCCGGCTGGGTAATTCTGGGAATTGAAGTCCACCCATCTTAAAAGCTCTCCAGGTTGAGAAAGGCTGGCCAAAAAGGACAACACCTTTTCCCAAAGCTGCTACAGAAGAGAGACTCCTCTTGTTCACATCATTAACAACTAGTGGAACAAGCCAGTCTCCTTTCATGCTGCATCATGGCCTCCCATACTTGTATGACCTCTGTGCGTGGCTGGTGGTTGCTCAGCACTATGAGTGTCTTCTGGACCAACAGAGGTCAGGAAAAGGAGTGTGGGAATTGTGTAGATCTCACCAGCAAAACATAACAAAGTGAAGAAGGAAATCTGATAGGAGAGCCCTGGCCGGCATGGCTTCTGCTCCAGCACTTGAGAGGAGCAACATTGGCCAGAACATCTGCCCAAGGACTCACCTCGTGTGAACCCACCCGATTTCAATTGAGCCCGCAGCAGTATGGTAGAGCCCAAGCTTTGCATCCAAAGACTCCATGATGGAGATGATCCTCATCAGAGATCTTGAGATCTCTGTTGATCAGACCCTACCCATGATAGCAATTTTGTTTCTAATGCAAGTCTTCTACACTTCCCGGTGCCAAAAACATCCTGCAACTCTTCTGTGGAAGGCAGTTGTGGCTTGGTTTGTTTTAATTCCTACTGACGAGGGACTGGCGGGTGGGAGTAAGAAGCTCAGAAACTGAAGATGGTGTCTGATGGCCTAATCGGAAGTCAACCCTTTCTCTTTGGTTAGAAGTCTTTTTTTCAATGCCGTTGTAACTTCAAACGGTCACTAAATGAACTGTGGTAAGTGGAGGACTACTGGTGTGTCTTGTGCGTGTGGTGCAAAAGCTTTTTGTGAGGGGCATACGCGACACCCCAACCAACTGGAAACTCACCTAGAAATAAGATGATGAGATGGAGCTGCAGAAAGACCGAAAACGGGACAGTGATGCTTAGTGGGTAATTGAGGGTGAAGCTGAATTTTCCAGTGCTGCCGAAGACAGGAATGGCCTGGATCACGGCTACAGCTAAAAGCAGAAAGGAAGGGTGAAAAGGCCTTTGGGGGAAGAACAAAGAACAAGGGCAGAAACTGAACGACAGACAGTCCTTAACTTACGACCGCAATTGGGACAAGACTTTTCACGCCTAAGGTGACTGTTGAGTGATTCATGCCTGATTTTATAACCCTTTTTGGCCAGGTTAAGTGGATCACTGCAGTTGTTCAGCGAATCCAATTTCCCCTGCTGCAATGGCTGTAAGTGTGAAAAGCAGTCGTAAGTCACTTTTTTCAGTGCCGCTGTATAACTTTGAACAGTCACTAAATGAACTGTTGTAAGTCGAGGACTGCCTGTGTTCCAAGGGTGGTCCCCCCAGTGCAGTATATTCACCCATATTTTTCCCACCTACCTTCTGCCAACACTCCCAACGGATAGAGAGGCATCCATATGCTGTATCGAAGCCAAGTCAGAATTTTCCATTCTATATCGATGCTGGAAAGCAAATAGTATGGATACCTAGAAGAAAACCCACAAACATCGGTCATCTCTTACCGCTTACCTGGTGCAAGGCTGCAAAAGAAGGAAATATAAATGGATGAGCAACAATCACATCCTGCATCTCATGGCCCAGCAAGCGTAGATGTTCCTTAGTCAACTTCACGTGTATTTTATACAGGCCTTAAGAATCAAGATTTAAAAGTTCGCCTGACCTAATCGAGATAACACTACCCAAAGATGGCTAAATGGACTGCCTTGATTAAAGAAAAAAAATGCTTTTGTTTTTACTTGGAAACCGCTTCTGGACTTTGTGCTTGAGGTGGGAAAAAAAATAAAACTTAGATTTTGGGTTTGTTGTTATAGATATGGCTAGTTTATACTATTATGTAAAACTAAAAAGTTGTGGTTTGATGTTACTATCTTATTTTACTCCATCAAAGGGAGCTGGAAGTCAACTCTTCTTTTTTCCCCCTTCCCCTACACTTTTTCCTTCCCCAATTTTTCAATTATTTTCTTTAGCATTTTTGTATTTTATGTTATATAAACTAATAGAAAAAGAAAAAAAAGATAACACTAGCCAAGAAGTAGAAGCAATGCTGCCTGTTCAATGGAAAGAAAATGGGCAATGTTCTAAAAGCATAATAAGAGTTTTATTGTCCTGATCTCAAGAGACTTTAAAAACAGGTTTTTCTTAGAGATGTTGGGGACTAAACTAGAGACTTCTGGAAGCTCAGGGCTGGGGGAACCTTGGTGCTTTCTGAGCTTGTTTTCTTGAAGACTTTTAATTACCCAACTAGCTAGTAAATGCCACTCCCTTCTAGCACTGATGTCACCTAATTTCTTAATGAAATGTCTGCAAGAAAACAACCAAGCTCAGAGACCACCAAGGATCCCACAGTCCTCCTCCTCCTCTTCCTCCCTCCCTCCCTCCCTCCTAGTACTGATGATGTTACCTAGTTGGGTGATAAAACGTCTGCAAGAAAACAGCCAAGCTCAGAGAGCACCAAGGATCCCACAGTCCTCCTCCCTCCCTCCCTCCCAGCACTGATGATGTTACCTAGTTTGATAATGAAATGTCTGCCATAAAACAACCAAGCTCAGACAGCACCAAGGATCCCAGTCCTCCTCTTCCTCCTCTTCCTCCCTCCCTCCCTCCTAGTACTGATGATGTTACCTAGTTGGGTGATAAAATGTCTGCAAGAAAACAGCCAAACCTGGAGAGCACCAAGAAAACCACACTACCCATCTCCGTTTGCAACCAAGAGGTGAAGCAGTTGCAAATGATAGGTACAAATGAAAATATTACAGTTAAGTTAAAGCTGCACAGAAAAGTTGGGGGGGGAGGTGTTGGGTGGACCCCCGAGACAATAATGTAGAGATGGCAACAGGCAAGAATTCTGCAACTGCCTCTGTGCCCCAGATACCTGATGATCTCAACCGTGCTCCAGATGTAGAAGATGAAAAAGACAACTGCTTTGCTTTGCATTTCTTCCAGACTTCCAAGAACTACAAACAATAAGAAGTTCCTCCCAAAGATCTGGAAAGGGGCCAAAAGAGAGGTGCAGAGAGTTCAGTAATGGGAGACAGATTGATCTCTTCCAAGTTCAGACGCTCAAATATACGTTGCGAACAAGGAACAAACCTCGGGAGGATTCAGCCAAGCTTTTCTCAAGCTGGCGTGCCTGGCTGAGGAATTCTGGGAGTTGAAGTCCAAAAGTCATAAAAGGGCCAAGTTTGAAGACACCACCCCCCCTGCTTTAAACCATTACACCAAATTTCCTCCAATGAAGCATCAAAGGCAGGAAACTTTGGGAGAACTCTCGGACTATATAACAAAGATTTCCATATCATTAGATGCCCGAGACTCTCTCAAGAGAATTACTAGCAAGCAGACTGAGGTGGCACATAATCATCTGCCATTTTTACTCCAAGACAGAAAGTATTAAAACAGCTCTCGGTCAATATCTTGCATTGATTAAGTAAATCTTTAGCCAGCCCCATAAAAATGACTTTTTACACTTTCCAAAGTGGCTTGGAAATGTATTACCTGGAGACAAACAGGAGCTAAGGGAGTTTTGATGAGGCCTATCAAGGCATTGACAATCTCCATCAAGGAAAACATCTGGCAGAAGTACATCATGTCCCCACTCATGTGGAAAGTATCGGAGAAAGAGTCTGCAAGAACATAAGATGGCTACCTGTAACTGCAGTGTGAAGGAAGGAGACCTACTAAAGGCAGAGGGAACCAGAAATAGATGTCAGGGCCATTTTAGGGGTCTTGCAAAAGATAAAGCTGCTGCAACTATTTCCATGGGTTGTGAAGCACCTGTTTCAAATGTTTTGCACAGCCCTACACACTTAACATGGCCTACATTATATGGAACGTAGAATCATAGAGCTGGAAGAGACCTTGGAAGTCTTCTAGACCAACCTACTGCTCAAGGCAGGAAACCTACCCCATCCTAGTCAAAAATAGACTGGTTGTCCGTCTATTTTTGAAAATCTCCAGTGATGGAGCAACCACAAGCCCAAGAGGAAAGCTGTTCCACTGATTGTTTGCACCTCTCCCTTAAACCCACTCTGGCTTCTTGGGCAAGTAGACGAGGAGAATCAAAAATATGTGCCACTTGCCTTTCCCCAGCATGAACAGCCGGACGGTCATGTTCACGAAGATCCACGAAAAGCCCAGGAACTGCACAAGATTGTACATGAACAAATAGCCTCTCTTCAAGTGTCGGAAAGCTGCAAAGATTTACAGAACCAAGTTAGAAGAGGATGATGGGTAGGAGGCTTCGGATGGCCAACTTGCAAAGTAGAGGCACTTACGATCTTTGGGCATTCTGTTCTTCACAATGATCTTGTTTATCCGTTCTTCTTCCTAGAAGTTAGAAAGAGAGAGAGAGCATGAAAACTGGTACGACGTTCCCACCCAGAAAGGATCTGGTCCTGCGGTTGATAACATTACTTGTAAATAACTAGCTGTTCTTTGTGTGCCAAATGGATGAGGCCACACAACTCAGAAAGCCGACAGCAGGAAAAATGCACGATGACGCCTGATTTAATCTGCCTGCCGTACCAAATCCAGCAGAGGGCACGTGCCATCCTCTAGGTCGGTGGCCCTACATTGGTGGCCCCCAGGTAGCAGGGCTTTTTCTGCTCTGGAGTCTTCTCCCCCCTGAAATGAGGTTGGCCTCATCCCCGTTGAGCTTCCTGAAGACCTGGTGATGCCAATAGGCCTGAGGACCCCAGGAAAAGAGTGACCTAGCAAGGTAGCTTTGCTATTTTTAATACCAAGATGATTTAACAACCGTGTTGCTAATTTAACAACTGCAGTGATTGACTCAACAACCGTGGCAAGAAAGGTCGTAAAATGAGGCAAAACTCACTTAACAGATTTCTCATTTAATAGGAGAAATTTTGGGCTCAATTGTGGTTGTAAGTCAAGGAGGACTACCTGTATTTCTGCACCTCTGAGAGAGAGAAAAAAATCACTTTTGCTCAATTTAAACTGAAAGCTGGCATATGGTCTGGGGCTTCCGAGAGGCCCAGGTTCAGAGGCCCGCCTCTTCTCCAAATGCCAAGGATTGAAGTACAAGGTGAGAACAAGAGTTGGCCACCTTTTTCAAGCCCCAAGCTCTACTGGACGTTGGCCAAAAAAAACCTACCGTATTTCAAAAAAATAACAGCAGGCACGATCTTGCAAGATTTTGGTGATCTGGCACAACCTCAACCGAGCACTAACATGTCAAGAGATTTCAGAATTATGAAATTTTACCAGAGCTTACGTAAGAACATTGATATTGCATAATATCATACAGGTTACTTTTGAAAGAGCTGAGGTTTCTTTTTTTTTTCAATCTACTTTTTAATTTAATGCTGGGGTTTTTAATTTAATGCTGGGGTTCTGCAGATGCCAGCTAGATTTACCGGGGGGCAAATTCATAATATTATATGACAGTTACACCTGTTTTCAAGGGCAAGAGACATAGTCCAAAGAGTTTTATACCAGGGTATAGACCACACTTTAGGAGGGGGTTTCCCATCCTTGGCATCTTTAAGACTCCTGGCATCAGCTCCCAGATCTCCCCTTTTATTAGCGTCATGACGTACGACGGTAATGGACAGGCTCCATCAAGGTCATAAGTTGAGGACTACCTGCACAATGCTGATTAGAGCACGTGAGCAGCCCCTTGATGGGGAGGGCCTGGGCAGATCCGACAGATGGGTGACTCTGCTTGCTGCCCACCGGAGAAGTCCTCTCTTCCCAAGGTCAGCCACTCATCCTCACCTTGGCCTTCAGTTCCATCTCGGCATCCGATTCGTCCAGCCATCGGTCAAAATCCGGAGTGAGAAACAGCGGCCGCTTCTCCTGCTTGGTCAGTCGCTCCCACCAGTGGCTCTCCTTCTTTTTCACCGTGATGCTCAGCTGCCTCTGGGTCACTCTACACACCGGCTGAAAGAGCAGCAGCCCCAGGCAGGGCGAGAAAGCAGACGCTCGTTTAAAGGAAAAGGGAGACGGTGTCTTTTTTTCTAATAAAAAAAATTCAATGTATTCATTGCAGCAAAATCTGGCAACTCCACCCGGCGTGGTGGGTGGTGTCAAATCTTTCCACCTCTGCACAGAGTCACCTGGCCTGTACAGTATGAGCCTCCTGCCCTTATTGCTGACCGCACAGCCTTGCCTGGAGCGGGCAAAGCCTGAGATTTACACAGCGGGAGGACTTCATAAGCCACATTCACGAGAGGCTGGAACGACCAGAATTTCTAGCCTGGGTGCAAATATGATTGCGCAATGCAGGGGAGCCAATCCTATCTGCAGGGCGGTTGGATCATTTCACCCTGCCTTCCAATGCAATCCGGGTTTTTAGGGGTTCGCCAGGCTTGAACCCAAAGAACCCAAGCTTCTGAAATAAAGCCTAGATCCAGTTCTGCAGGCACAGCATCCTTGGAAAAGCCTGCTGGGCTTGGCAGATGTTTGAAAAGGACTCTTGCTGCGACCTTCTATTACACAGGGCTTTCCAACCTTGGCAACTTTAAGATGTGTGGACTTCAACTCCCAGAATTTCCCAGCTAGCCATGCCGGGTGAGGAATTCTGGGAGTTGAAGTCCACAAGTCTGAAAGTTGCCAAGGTTGGAGACCCCTGCTAATTCAGAAGACTGAGGTTTTTTTCTGGGACCCCCAAATATGCAGAAATACATTTTTTCAAAAAGGCAGATACAAAATGTTAGCCTCCTACAAGCCCACATTTAGTTGTTGCTACTCTTTAAATGATTTGCTTGTATTAAATGACTTAGCTCAGTGTTTCTTAACCTCAGCAACTCCCAGAATACATGCTGGCTAAGGAATTCTGGGAGTTGAAGTCCACCCATCTTAACATTGCCGTGGTTGAGAAACAGCGAGCTGGCTGATACCTTGCGTGCTGTATCAGATAAAGTAGGTCAAAATTCATTCTGGGTTCACTCTGTGCTAATATGTTATTATTGTCCTGCTAATGCTTAACTTGCTAGTTAAAAACCAACTGATTTCATTCACTCAACAGGCCAAGCCTGCTTAGGATTAACACAAGGTGTATTTGTGTAGGTCAGGGGGCAAAAGGCCAGGTTAGCATTTTGAATAGAACTGGAAGGTACCTTGGAGGTCTTCTAGTCCAGCCCCCTACTCAAGCAGGAGGACGTATACCATCTCAGACAAGTGACTGTCTAGCCTCTTCTTAAAAATCTCCAGTGATGGAGTGCCCACGATTTCTGGAGGCAAGCTGTTCCACTGGTTAATTGTCCTCACTGTCAGGAAGTTTCTCCTTAATTCTAGGTTGCTTCTCTCTTTGTTCAGTTTCCAATCATTGTTTCTTGTCCTGCCTTCTGGAGCTTTGGTGAATAACGTGACCCCCTCTTCTTTGTGGCAGCCCCTCAAATGCTGAAATACTGCTATCATGTCTCCCCTATTTCTTCTTTTCTTTAGATTAGCCAAACCCAAGTCCTGCAGTCATTCTTCGTATGTTTTAGTCTCCAGGCCTTGGATGATCTTAGTTGCTCTTCTCTGAATTTTTTCCAAACTCTCAATATCTTTTTTGTGATATGGTGACAGTCCATAAATAAAAACCTGGATACCTTGTAAACACATTATCCGTTCATTAGACAGCAAGAAAACAGCCTTACCTGAGGGTTTACTGGTTCCAAGAACTCAATCTGGAATGTGTAAATATTATCCCCCTTGGCCCCGTGGCCATGAGCTGGAAAACCAAAAAAATAAAATAAAAATGCACCCTATTTTAAAAATTCTGGAAAAACAAGCTTAGAACTTATAGCGAATTGGATCCTTCTCTAATTAGACTCTAGCCATTTCTAAGGAGGCTTTCCAAATTAAATGTAAAAATGTCACATTTCTTTTGAAAAGGGGGTGGAAGAGCAGCACCCAGAAAAGGAGAAACTCGGAGAAGCAAGCATTATCTTGAGATTGTTTAGGGAATTAATCACTAATCAATCATTCAGGCTTGACCCCTTGCATGAATATAGACATGAGAGAGAGAGAGAGAGAGAGAGAGAGAGACAGACAGACAGACAGACAGAAGTCAAATTGCTCATTTTTCCCCCCAATACTTCAAAAGCTTGCTTTTTTTTTTTTTAATGTGGTCACTCTACTGGACCATTTGCAAAGAGTGCCATTCTCCAGAACAGTAATAACTGAATAAGACTTTCTGCTGCGTGATGCTTCTTCAAACATTTGCAAATTGCAATCCATTAATTGAGTCTCTTTCCATTTTCTCTTCCCAGGCTAAATATATTTGATTTTTTTTTTTACTGTTCCTTGTAATATTCCATTTCCATTTGACAGATTCCACTTAGTGAACTGATCAATATTATGCCAGGTTATTTTAGAAACACATCCGTATCTTTTATAAATTACTATACACGCAGCAGGGGATACATTTTATGCATCAGGATTCAGTGGGATAGCAAAACCAAGGACAAGATAATCTTTGGGTAAAGTGCAAGAATTAAACCAGAGGTCAATAAAGGTGCTCCCTCACTAAAAATGCAAACTTGAAATTCCAGAAAAATGAAACCCTGAGTGATTTTCGGAATGCTTATTTTATTTTGAATGGATCTGGCTAGTAGGTGAAAAACTCCTTGGAAACTCTTACTCCCAATTGTTCAGAATAACCTTTATAAACTGAAATATACTTTCCATGCTGAAAATAGTGGAAACTGGTTTACCTTTAAAATGGAGCACATTGTCTGTAATGGTAATATCAGGGTCCTGGGGGAAAAAAAAAGAAAGATGATTGCTTGCATTTCAATTCCAAGTAGTCCTCATCTTATGTGCAAAGTTATGGCAGACCTCCCTGTACTTTATGATGGTCACAATGTCCAAATGTGATGGGCAGGGTCCATTACCGTCGTAAGTTGAGGACTACCTCTACTTCTCATTTTTTCAATCAATACAGTAGAGATCTATGCATACTGCACAGTTCTGCGTGGAATACAGGTAGTCCTCAACTTACGACCACAACTGAGCCAAAACTTCTGTTGCTAAGCGAAACATTTAAGTGAATGTTGCCCCATTTTACGACCTTTCTTGTCACTGTTGTTAAGCAAACCACTGCAGTTGTTAAGTTAGTAATCCAGTTGTTAAGTGAATCTGGCTTCAAATTTTGACGGTCGTGTGAAAAATGGTCATTTTGGACAGTCATTAAATGAACCACTGTAAATTGAGGACTGCCTGCTATGACAAAGGTAAAAGGGAAGAGGCCCTCTTACCCAGGTAGGCCTGCAGAAGGTCAGAAAATACCAAAATGGCAGCCGCGACCGCTTGACCCAAGTCCCGCTCCTTTTTAACACGAGTCATACAGGGGAAAAAGGAAGAGCAGGATTCGGCTGCGTGGCTGTGCCAGCCATCTTAACTTTTCCGACTCGCTTCTTGCAGATGCCTCGGTTGCTCTCTCTCCTCTTCGAAAACAATGCGGGGGGGGGAGGCAGCCATAAAAGGATGTCCCTCTGGGGAAAGGCCTGGCTGTGCCCCAAATGTTTTGCACACCAAAGGTGCAAAGTGAATTTCTTAAGCAGGGCTGAGCCGTTCATTTTTTTTTTTTGCCCAGGAGCTTGCAAAAGGCAGAAATATGCCAAGGGCGCCCACTCTGCAGAACACTAATTTATAGTGTGATAGTAATTGATATGAATAACGACACATTTTATTCTTCCCCGCTTGGCGTTTTCCTTTGCAACCTGTACGAAGCTCTTTAGAACAAGAAAGCAACAAATCCATTCATAGCTACAAAGGCCAGATCTTACAGGAAAACCTTGGGGCAATGTTCCAAGCGTTTCAGATCCCGACATATTTCATATATATATATATATATATTTTAAAAAAGGGTGCAAAGAATGCTTTTTAGCTGGCTGGCCTTACTGCTTCCCTCTGGGGCTCAGAAGCCCTCATCTGCAAAACGTGTGAATGGACTGGCTGCTTTAAACCAAGATTAGGGGTAGAGCCCTCCCCATTCTCTTGCCAGCAGATTTGCGAGGCTCGTGTGAATGCAGGCGACCCAATGAGGAGGGGGCCCTCACTTACCATCCTGCGTGCAAGTGGTTTCCCCCTCCCCTGTCTTCCCTTCCCCTTTTTTGGCATTTCTCTCCCCCCCCNGGGAGGCGAGGAAGGGAGGCCGGCAGGTCCCCGCCCGGCGGCCGCCCCGCCGAGAGCGCCTCTCCTGCCCCGGCGGCCGCGCCTCTCGCCCAGTAAGTGCCGCGGCGGCCGCGGGGCAGCGCTGGCCGAGCCCGGGTAGGGCACCCCCTGGGCAGCCGTGCCAGGCTCGGGCGCCGGCAGGGCGGGGGGTCCCGGGGGCGCTGATCAAGCCCGGGCGGGGGTCCCGGTGGGCAGGCACGGGGGTGGGGGGCGCAGCCAGGCTGGGGGGGAGGGCCGGAGGGGCCCCGAGGGAGACCCCCGCCCGGGGGATCGGAGCGCACGGCTCCCTGCAACAGGGCGGGCTCCGGGCGGGGACCCTCCGGTCGCCCAGGCGGGGCTTGGCCCTGCAGCTGCGGGCATCGCCCCCGGCCAGGCCTTCCTCCGTGCCCCGCGGGGGCGGTGTGGGCAGGAGGGCGGCGGCGGGGCCGGGGAGCGGAAGCAGCAGCCCCGGGCAGGGTCGGGAGGAAGCCGGAGCAGCCGTCGCGGGCGAGGTAGTGGCCTCCGCGGCAGCCGGGCAGGGGGCTCCCCCGCCCCCGCCCCGTCTGGGAGAGTCCGCGGGGGCGGGGGGGAGGCGATGGGCGCGTGCCAGGCTGGGGGGGGACGATTGGAACTCCCCCCCCCGTTTCGTTTCTGTGATCGCGCACCGACTTTGCAATCCCCCCCCGCCGCTCCGGAATTTTTATGGGGAGGGGGATCCCCTGGGTGGGTGCACCGCCGCCTGCAGACCTGCCAGGGCTGGACAAGCTGCCCGTCCAGGCATGTCATCGTAGACGCCCCCCCCCCGTGACTTTCGCCTGCCCCCCCCCAGCAGGAAGGGGGCTCCCTCCGGGACCCCTGCTATTCCCTATCCCCGTGGGACCTTATCCCAATCCAGGGTTAGGCAACCTTGGCGCTTTGACGACTCGTGGACTTCAACTCCCAGAATTCCTGAGCCAGCTGTGTGATGGACGTTTGCCACCTTCTGACAAGCAAAGTCAATGGGGAAGCCAGATTCACTTCACAACTGTGTTATTAACATCAACTGTGGCAAGGAAGGCCGTAAAATGGGACAAAACTCACTTAACAACAGAAATTTGGGGCTCAGTTAGGGTTGTAAGTCAAGGATTACCTATAATAGTAATAATGATAGGTGGATAAAAAGGCCAAATCCAGTCTAAACATCTGGCTGACTGTGGAACAAAACATAATAACAACCAGCTAAAGAGTTGGTAGCTATGATTTACATTGTTGTGAACAGATAATAACGTGATGATTTCTTTAATATTATTAAACAACATCTGCCTCTCCCAGGTCCTTGGGAAGGATTCAGTAGGTGGACAAAAATACCAAATCCAGTCTAACATCTGGCTGATTCTGGCCAAGCATAATAATAACACAAAGTGGAAATACCCTATCCCAGAGGGTTAGCCTGGAGCATGAGCCCAATTCAGAAATAAGAGAAAGAATGATCAGTGGTCGTCGGAATTCCCAGAAGATCCCTTGTCCACCACTGGACATCCTTCCTTGAACGTCCCAAAGGAACCTACGATGCTGGTAGGCCGATAGCTCACCTGTCATAAGACAGCTTTCCAAACATCTGAAGATGTTCTCCAGCTTTTTGAGTGATTCCTGGGTCAGAATGGAAGGAGGCAGCTGAAAGTTCTTGAAGGAAGGACACAGGCAAGAGGTGGCCTCTTTAGTAGCATAGGTTTTGATGAATTTCTTTTCCAGAGTCCAAGATGTGTGATGGCATCAGCCATGAAGACTGAGCAACCCGCCCTGGAAATCTTTGAGACGGCCGAGAGCCAGGAAAATGTGGTGGCGGCCGAGGAGACGGTCAAGCTGGAGCCATATTACGTGGAGAGACATTCATGGAGTCATCTGAAGAAGCTCCTGGCAGATACCAGGAAGTATCACAGCTGCCTGATGGCCAAGGCACCCCACGACTTCACATTTGTGAAGAGGAATGATCCAGAATGTCCTCATTCATACCGCATGTACTATCTGGGTGAGTTGAGTGTCTCCAAGAACCAAGATTTTAGGCACCGACTCTTTCAAATGGCTGTCCAGCTACCATTCTTTTGAAATAGTCACATTCTGGCTTGGGGGTAGAGTTTAAGAGGCTTAAAGAGAGCCAGGGTAGGAGCCACGTAAATCTTGGGGGGGGGGATAGTGTTCCAGTGGACTGTTGCCCTGAAAAAAAAGGTCCATTTCCTGGATACCACCAGGAAACACAAGTTTAATTGAAGGGACATGGAGCATGTGGATGGAGCAGGTTCCTAGATAACCTCATTATTATGATATAAATAAATACTTCGCTGCTTTGTATCATCCACAGTGTTCTTGATTTTTTTTAAGCTTAATAAATTGAAGTAATAGTTGAAAAGAAAGTCAGAGCAGTATCTAGAATAAAGAGAGGGGTTCACGTGTGAAGGTTGCAGAAACAGGCCTTTTCAGGGCCTGTTCATTTTGTGGAATTGGCTGCCCCCCCTTGCCCCCAAATTTATTTATTTATCAAACTTGTATGCTCTTCATCTCGCGAAAAGCATCTCTAGGCAGTTTCAAAGGCAACTCTATGCTCCTCATATCCACCTTTTGCTGAGTCTTTCCAAAGATGCTTGGAAATTCAGATCCACAATGCTGAGGGCCATCTGGTTTAATTCTTTTTTATCTTAAGAGCTGTTCTGTTTTTCTTATGATGACTCAATAGAGTAGAACAGAATAGAACTGAACAGAATACAGTATGGTAGGGTAGAGTAGAATAAAAACGTTATTGTCATTTTAAATGTACACTAATCAGCATACATTAAAATGAAATTTTGTTGCATTCAGCACTCAAAGGGTAACCACCTCCAATATACACTACATAAACATGACAAAAGATTACGCATATACCCCCATACACACACATATATAACACAGAGAAACAACACAGTCTAGTTCGGATGTATACATATACATGGCGAGAGAAAAAAATGAATCCTGTGAATTTACAAGATGGATTGCATAAGGAACAAAAAGCTGTTGCATAATCTAGTAGTCCTTGCTATAAATACTTCAAAACCCTTGTGATATTAGGAATTTTTATTTGGCTGTTCTGGGTCTGGATAGGTCTCTGGGTCTGCATGGGATGTAACCACTAGCAAATAAATGCATTTATAAATCAACTGGCACTTGCTGGTTTTTAAGTCCATGTGATAATTTTGGCTTGGGACTCTGGTAGCAAGAAGAAAAATTCAGTATTATTTTTCCCTTTCTTTCTTACTAATTAGCCATGTCCGGTGAAAACAGAGAAAACACCCTGTTTTATTCCGAAATCCCCAAAACCGTAAACAAGGCTGCCATTCTTATGCTGTCTTGGAAGCCTCTTTTAGACCTTTTTCAGGTACGTCATTTGGTTATTTCTTCCCTCTTTCATCCCTCCTGTTTTTCCCTGTCCTAAAAGTGAGCTACAATGCCCATCTGAATCACCGGTACAGAGGTCAGGGGTCAAAAAAGTCAAGATGGTGGCTGCAACCCAGGGCTTCAGTCACAGGATTGCAGCCACCATCTTGACTTTTTTGACCTCTCCTCCCTTCCGGATGCCTCTCAAGCTGCAGTAATCAGTTGAAAGCATTGTCCAAGACTAAACGGATGGTTGTAAGTCAAGGACTGTCTGTAATAAACAGTTTTGTTTTCCCGCACGTTCTTCTCACCCTGTCCTCTCATGTCAGGCCAGCCCAGATTATGGGATGTACTCACGAGAGGAGGAGTTGTTGCGGGAGAGGAAACGCATCGGCACCGTTGGGATCGCTTCCTACGATTATCACCGGGAAAGTGGCACATTTTTATTCCAAGCCGGCAGTGGGATCTACCACGTCAAAGATGGCGGCCCAAATGGGTTTACGGTGAGTGGTTCTGGCAGATTGTCGTGCCTTGCTTTACAATGCCTTGGTAAGGCCACACTTGGAATACTTGGAATCCAGCTTTGGTCACCACGGTGTAAAAAAGACGTTGAGACTTTAGAAAGAGTGCAGAGAAGAACAACAAAGAAGATAAACATGAAATGTTTTCGTTTTGTTCTTGTTTCTGTTTTAACTGAAGATTTTCAGAAGTTGTCTTGAAGTCTACATGAAGGGGGCTTTGTTTTCACACATAGCTTTATGTTCTTCAGTCTTCTGGAGGTATCAGGTGCTGGCCCATCCTGTTCAACATCTCATCTTGAGCTGCTCTTTATTTCACACAGCGATCCAGGAGGAGCAAGTACGTAGTTCAAAAGAGCCCTTTCCGTATTCTTTTATCGTTACAGCAACAGCCTTTGCAGCCCAATCTGGTTGAGACCAGTTGCCCTAATATTCGGATGGATCCGAAAATCTGCCCAGCAGATCCCAACTGGATTGCCTTTATCCATAGCAATGATATCTGGATCTCCAATCTGGCAACCAAAGAAGAGTGGAGGTTAACCTTTGTACATAAAGGTGATCCTGGCTAATCCATGGTTTGTTGAATGATGGTTTATTAAATAAAGTAGAACTGACTGGATTTGGAAAAATGAATGGTATTTTGGATTAGGAGGGTGGATCACCCAACCTTTCCCCTCAAAGCCAGATATCTGTTAATTGATTTGATCAAACCATGGCTTATTTTCTTGTCCTGATTAGGTTTCCTTCTGGTTTTAAATCATGATTCGGTTTTCCAAACGAAGCCCTCCTCGTCTGAATGTTTATTGAGTTTCCAGCTTGAGTTCTGCTATGTGGTGCCTTTGAATTACCAGTGTATTGCATATTACTTAAAGTTTAAACTCAGTTAGAGGTTGTCCTTGACTTACAACAGTAATGGAGCCCTGCGCATCACGCTCATAGGTCAGGGTGGTCATAAATTGGGTGATCCAGATGACCGATCAGATTTATGAACTTTTTTGCTGCGGTCGTAAATGCTAGTTTTTCAGCAAAACGCTTGTAAAACACAACCGTTTGACAATGCAAATGGCTATAAATGCTGTCCAGTTGCCAACACCCAACATGGGAATCACGTGACCGCAGGGGGTGCAGCCATTGGATCTTAGCAATTCTGGGCAGCATCCTGGACATTTTGCAGATTGCAACAGTTGTTTATCTCCTTTCTTTTGCCTCTTATGTTGCCTGCACAGAACTTGCCAGCATTGAAGAGGATCCCAAGTCTGCTGGAGTTGCTACCTTTGTGCTGCAGGAGGAGTTTGACAGATACACGGGCTACTGGTGGTGCCCAGCAGCTGAGCCAAGTAAGTGACCAAGGTGTGTGCAGCTCAAGAAGTTGACTTAACTTCCCTGATGTCAGCCGTCCCACCTTGGCCTCTAGAACACCTTGGCCTCTACTCATGTTTCGTAAAAACACACTTTACTAAAGGTAGAATTCTTTATTGGCCAAGTGTGGTTGGGACACACAAGGGATTTGTCTCCGGTGCATAAGCTCTCAGTGTACATACAAGTAATAGTGATCAAACCGGACCATAAACAACATAAAAATACATTCATCATAAATCACAAAATACAACACTTCATCATCATGTTGGTTGTCTCTTGGAAGGCAAACCATCAGACAGAAGCTGTTGGGGAGAAGACAAATACATTGGCCTTTTTTGGGGGGTCTCTCTCTTGGTAGTTGCTGACGGAGAAAAAATCCTTAGAATTCTGTATGAAGAAAACGACGAGTCAGAGGTGGAAATTATTCATGTCACATCCCCCATGTTGGAAACCAGGAGGACGGATTCTTTTCGGTATCCCAAGACAGGTGAGAGAACCTGGTGGGACATTCCAGAAAAGGCCCAGTGTATCTCAACCTCAGCTACTTCAAGAGGTGTGCTGACTGGAGAATTTTGGGAGTTGAAGTCCACACCTCTTGAAGTAGCTGAGGTTGAGAAACATTGCCCTAAGCATCAGAATGTGGATACCAAATGACCTTGGAGAACAAACATAATCAGGAGCCTTTCATTCAGGGGCCTTCAAACTTGGCCCTTTTATGACTTGTGGACTTCAACTCCCAGAATTCCTCAGCCAGCGTGCCTCACGCTGGCTGAGGAATTCTGGGAGTTGAAGTCCACAAGTCATAACAGGGCCAAGTTTGAAGACCCCCTGCTTTAATTCCTCTGTAACTCATAATGTTTTTTTTTTCTCTTACAGGCACAGCAAATCCCAAAGTCACTTTCAAGTTATCTGAAATAACCATTGGTTCGGATGGCAGAGTAAGCCTGCTCTGTTTTTTTTCTCTCAAATAAATCCTTGTATTGTTTGAACTGTGGTGCGTTGAATCCACTCTAGTGTCCTGAGTCACAAAGCACCTTGCTATAAACCATAGTTTGGTTCCACATTGCACAAAGCCACAAAGTGGTTGATTTGGCCTTGCAAGGCTGATGACTTAGCACAGACAAGCCATTCTGGCTTATAGGGTAATGAATGGTGATTACAAACTAGGGCTTAATAAGGTGGTGCTATGGGACATGACAAGTTATGGCTTAATTTGAAAAGCATGCCCAGCCACCTGGTCAGGTCATAGATGAGAAAGAAGAGGTTTGTCCACAAAGACAGGATGAGGAAACTTTTGGAGACTAAAAATTGGTTAGAGTGGGTGAGGCAATCATGTCAAAGTGTTATGAAAGTGTTTTTCAGACTTTGCAACTTGAAGATATGTGGACTTCAGCTCCCAGAATTCCCCAGCCAGTCCATACATCTTCAAGTTGCGAAGTTTGAAACACGTTTTTATTTATTAAATTTATATACCGCCCTATCTCCCTTACGGGACTCAGGGCGGTTATAGAAGGTTATAGAAGGTTATAGAAGGTTATAGAAGGTCTGCAGGCAAGACAAGAATTTCCCTTCTCTTCCCTTCCCTTCTCTTCTCTTCTCTTTCTCCCTCCCTCCCTCCCTTCTAAGTGGTTCTTAGCATTATACCAAATTTAGGGTGAACACACTCAAGGTTTTTTACATTTCCTGTTTGAAAATAGTTAGCAACTTGTGGCACTATGTATGGCTGAGGAAACTCCAAGGAAAGCAAAAAAGTAGGATTATGGGCATTGTTACAGATCATTCCTGCCCTACAGATTCAAAATAACATAATGGGAGGAAGTTAAGAGCCGTACAAACTATGAAACCTGTGAAGGTTCCTGGAAAGGGATTAGGACCAAGTATATTATTATTATCCGGAATTTGTCTTTCATTTGGCATTCCACGCCTCTTAATATATTTTGGAGAAAGATATTAGTAGTTTTTCTAATTGGTGTTTTTACCTCTTCCCTGAAGATTTTGGATGTTGTTGACAAAGAACTGGTCCAGCCCTTTGAAATCTTATTCGATGCAGTAGAATATATCGCCAGAGCAGGATGGACACGGGAGGGAAAATAGTACGTATTTTATAATTCCTCCATTTGCATGGCTTTGGACTGGGCTGTTCTGAGCCCTGGTGTTTCAGAGCATCCTTGGGTTGGAAGGGAGCCTAGAGATCTTCTAGTCCACCCCTACACCCAATGCGAGAACCCTCAGACCATCCCAGGCTGTCCAATCTTTTCTTGAATACACCTCCAGTCATGGAGTCCCCATAGCTTCAGGAGTTTCCTTGTCCATCCATTCAGATCCAGGAGATAAAACATCAAGAAATATTGCATATGGTGGCACCATCTGGTTTCTGATTCCCATTCCTTTCTGCTAGCGCCTGGGCCATCCTGCTGGATCGTTCTCAAACCCGGCTGCAGATTGCCTTGCTTCCCCCAGCTTTATTTATCCCCATGGAAGAGGACGCCATGGAGAGACAGAAATTAATGGATGCTGTGCCTGACTCCGTTACGCCTTTGATCATTTACGAAGAAACAACAGACATCTGGATCAATGTAAGGATGTATTCCTTCAGGGTAGGCCTGCTAAAGTTCTCTAGCTTCAGATGCAATTGTTGGGATGGAGTATAAGTCCAGAGAGAAGAGAGGAAAGAAATCAGCTAATGAAGTTTGAAAAGAAAGCTTTTCAATCAACAGGAAGAGTTGGTTAGCTTAGGCAGAGCCCAGGAACTGAATGTGGTATGGATAGAAATTGAAGGGACTTTTAAAAGTCTTCATGGTTACTCTAGTCATGCAGAGAGCTACTTTGCACTAGTGGTGAAAATACCAGGCTAGAAATTCGGAAATTGTGAGTTCTAGTCCCACTTTAGGGATGAAAGCCAATCACCTGTGAATCAAAGGAGATCCCCTTTATCATTTTTGAACTAAGCGTCCTCGTTTTCCTAGTCTTTGCTTTGACTTGCCACTCTTCCTTATTTCCACAGATCCATGACATCTTCCATATTTTCCCCCAAACGCACGAGGATGTCATAGAATTCATCTTTGCCTCCGAGTGCAAAACAGGATTCCGACATCTGTACAAAATCTCCACCCTTTTAAAAGAGAGCAAATATAAACGATCTTCGGGGGGACTTCCAGCTCCAAGTAACCTCTGGTTTTGCTTCTTGTGTCTTAAGAAATGGAAGAAGTTAGACATGCATGCCGAAGGCCTCAAAATTCATTACAGGGAGTCCTCAACTTATAACCATCCGTTTACTGGTTGTTCAAAGTGCGTCAGGTCACAGGGTGACCCGCTTGACAGCTGCAATAACTTAACAACCCAAATTCTGGGCTTGATTGTGGTTGTTAATTGAGGACTACCTGTAGCAAGACTATACAGGGTGTGAAGTGGGGGCCTGTCTCTTTTCTGAAGATGGAGCAATTCCCTTAGATGCCCTGTTCTGGCTAACTGCCAAATCTTTTATTGGCATAAGAGGAGCCTTGCACGCTTTTCCAATTTTTTGCATGCCTCTTCCGTGTGCAGAAAGGATGTTGTTCGGATGAGGTGAGGAAGGGCACCTGTGGACTCCCTTAACCTTCATCTCCTTGTAGGTGACTTCCTATGTCATGTCAGAGAAGAGCTGCCCATCACCCATGGAGAATGGGAAGTGCTTGGCCGACACGGTTCAAATGTAAGCTGCTTGGTCTCCCTTTTCGTGAATTGGTAACCTTCAATCGGACTTTTAAACCCTTCAACATTTGCACGAGATTATTGTGGTATCTTAACATATCCCATAGCCACGTGGCTGCTAGATCATAAAACGTCTGGTTTTGCCAGGCCCAAATCCCAAATTCCAGGCTCAATAGTGGTCATTAAGGGAGGACTTCCTGTATAGCAGCAATACCCTTCTTTGTTTCCCATGTGGAGGCCTGCCTCTTTTCTGAAGGTCGAGCCATTTAACTGATTTATTGCTAAAAGCCTAGGCCAGGGGTAGGCAACCTTGGCTCTTTTATGACTCGTGGACTTCAACTCCCAGAATTCCTGAGCCAGCTATGCTGGCTCAGGAATTCTGGGAGTTGAAGTCCACGAGTCATAAAAGAGCCAAGGTTGCCTACCCCTGGCCTAGGCTGTTCTCAACTAACAGCCTCTGCTTAGAGCTAGATAAGGTTCAATGGCAGCCAAGGGAGGGCTGACTCAGGATAGCTGACTCAGGAATTCTGGGAGTTGAAGTCCACGAGTCATAAAAGAGCCAAGGTTGCCTACCCCTGCACTAGGTAATTCTGCATTAACGTCCTTGTCAGGCAGTAAAGCTAAAACGGAAATGCTGCTCCGCTATTCCTGATGGTAGAAATGTGGGCCACTTCTTGTTTTGTGCTTTTGTTTTTTTTTAATCAGATCCGGGTGGACGAAGTTAACAAACTGGTATATTTTGAAGGTACAAAAGATTCTCCCTTGGAACACCACTTATACGTTGTTAGCTACAAGAACCCTGGAGAGATTAAGCGACTGACCGAACGTGGTTTCTCACATGCTTGCTATGTTAGCCAGGTATTAATCTTAATCTATGATGCCTTCACGAAAAGGGCCAGTTTATAAGGGAACCTGGTCATCTTCTTGAGAAGGTCCTCTCCTGACCATCAAGTGGGTTCAGGTAGTCCAAAGAAAGAAAATGGACAGTTTTGCAGGAAGTTAGATCCGGCCTTGAACAACCTTCTCCAATTTGGCAGCTGCTCCATTTGTTTTGGGGGCTGAAATTTTCTACATTTGAAGCCAGTGGCAGTTTCAGGAGATCCAGGCCAGTGGCAACTGGAAGATGTGCAGACGTCAACTCCCAAAATTCCTCAGCCAGCATAGCTTCCAGTTGCCAAGGCTGAGAAACACCGAACTAGGTTATATTGAGTTGGAGATTTGCTCAATCATGAAGAAATGGCAGCCCAGCTCTAGTAGAGTTGACCTTGTTCTTGAGGAAACTAAAGAAGGAAGTGGAATTCAAGCCAACATTGGTTTATGGCTCTGATACGATCTCTCTCTCTCCCTCCCTCCCTCTCTCTCTCTCTCTCTCTCTCTCTTTTTGGCAGGACTGTGAAATGGTTATATGTAAATTTAGTAATCAGAAAAGCCCCCACCAGGTCTCCCTCTACAAGCTGACTGGCCTGGAAAAGGAGATTGCTCACAGGTCCAAGGAATTCTGGGCCACCATTTTGCATTCCTCAGGTAGGGGATTTCTCTTGGAGGGGAGTGTTCAGGATGCGGTGGGGCTTGCGATGCTCAGGGGCATTCAGGTTTTATGTGGAAAACCTGGAGGGAGGAAGGAAAAAGGAAGGAAGATTGTTAAAATTTGTCTTAATTATTTTGAAGGAAATTGAGTGTTTGAATTGGAAAAGAAAGGGAAGGGCAGGGAGGAGAGGAGAGGGGAGGGAGGGAGGGAGGGAGGAAAGAAGGAAGGAAGGAAGGAAGGAAGGAACAAAGAAAATGGATATGACACCCACAAGAAAGCTGGTCAAATATGACGCCAGGTCTCTCTCTTCTGTTTCTCTGCTTCACAATGCCTTCTTTGCTTCCTGCAGGATCTCTCCCAGATTACATCCCCCCAGAGATCTTCTCTTTTGACAGTTCCTCAGGATTTGTGCTTTATGGGATGATGTATAAGCCCCATGATTTACAACCTGGGAAGAAATACCCCACGGTGCTTTTCATCTATGGGGGCCCCCAGGTGAGTCTTGGTTGTAAAAAAAAACAAACCTGTATTATACCTCTATTGGGACCTGAACTGTGGATTTACTCAATGCATAGCATAATTTACATGAATATTTGGATATTTCCTAGGTTCTTGGCTGGAATATGAATTTCCAAAGAATACCAGTCAAATATGTGATTCTTTTTGTTTGTTCTCTGTCCTTTATTGTTCCTTGATGATTAAAAAAACAACATCAACAACGATGATGATGCTTTTAATGCATCCTTCCAGGTGCAGCTTGTAAACAACCGCTTTAAAGGAGTCAAATATTTCCGACTGAACACTCTGGCTTCTCTGGGCTACGTGGTGGTGGTGCTGGACAACCGAGGTTCCTGCCACCGGGGCCTGAACTTTGAAGGCGCCTTCAAATATAAGATGGTAAATTGTCCCACGAATGTCTGTGGAGATTCTCAGTCATCCCGATCAGGGTTGTCCCAAAGGTGTTTTTTCATTAGGCAGTTGGACTTCCTGTTTTTTCTTCGAAGACGTTTCGCTTCTCATCCAAGAAGCTTCTTCAGCTCTGACTGGATGGTGGGGAATGGAAGGATTTATACTTAAAATGTTTAGCCATGCACTTTGGGATGAGCACCCTTCGAAGGGTGAGGGAGGATGAACGGATTTCCAGAAAACATTGCAAACTGCAGGAACCATTTGCACTTCAGTTTGAGATGCAGACAACACAGACTCATCTCCACCAGCCTGCGCCTGTCTTCAACAGTGAAGGGACACAGGACAAAAACATCCTGCAGCCATGAAGGCTCCACACCCATTTGCACTACTCAGGTGACCGTGAGGACACAGGTAAACCTCCAAGTGGCCTCAACGACTCTGTAAAAGAATGCAAGTGAACAGCTGTCTGCAAGGAGTATAAATCCTTCCATTCCCCATCATCCAGTCAGAGCTGAAGAAGCTTCTTGGATGAGAAGCGAAACATCCTCAAAGAAAAGCAAGAAAGTCCAGTTGCCTCCTGAAAAAAATACCATTGAGTGCCCAATGAATGGAGCTAGCAAATGCTGAAAGGAACCAGCGGCCTTTTGAGATGTCTTTTTTGTAATTCTGGGTATCCTCTGGACCAGGCTTGGCATCATTGACTTGCTGGCTGAGGAATTCTTTTGAGTTGAAGTCCTATTTGATTATTCTCTGTCCTCATTCTCAGTTTTGGGAGAGCAGAGTCCTCAAAAGTGATGGTAAACATTAACAGTGAATAAACATACAAGCCAGAGTGAAGGTTTTCCAAGTTCTTCTTTTTTGATGGGAATGTGAAGGAAGGAGATTCGAGTTCAGTGTCCTTTCATTACTTGAATAAGGACACAGGCCTCATCCTGAAAGCAGGACAAGAAGTTTTGGATGGAAAATTGTCAAAGAGAGATCCAACCTAGAACTAAGGAGAAATTTCCTGACAGTGAGAACGATCAACCTGCCTCCAGGGGTTGTGGGTGCTCCATCACTGGAGGCTTTTAAGAAGAGACTGGACAGCCACTTGTCTGGAATGGTATAAGGCAAGGGTAGGCAACCTTGGCTCATTTATGACACGTGGACTTCAACTCCCAGAATTCCTGAGCCAGCATGACTCAGCTTGGAAATCTCTCCCTTTCCCCTCAGCATGGCTGGCTCAGGAATTCTGGGAGTTGAAGTCCACGAGTCATAAAAGAGCCAAGGTTGCCTACCCCTGGTATAGGGTCTCCTGCTTGAGCCAGGGGGTCGGACTAGAAGACCTCCAAGGTCCCTTCTAACTCTGCTATTCTGTATTTAAACACTGATATGTTTCCTCCATGCATATTTTTTTTTCTTCCCACAGGGACAAATTGAAATTGGCGACCAAGTGGAAGGCCTGCAGTATTTGGCTTCCCAATACGAGTTCATCGATTTAGACCGGGTTGGCATTCATGGATGGTCCTATGGTGGATTTCTTTCCCTCATGGCGCTGCTGCAGAAGCCAGAAATCTTCAAGGTTGGTTCATCTGCCACGGCCCATTCACCTCTTTTGGGCAAATGTGCTGTGGGTGTATTTTTCCATGTGGAATTCTTTAAAAACAATCCAGTTATTTAGACCAGGGGCCTCCAAACGTGGCAAGACTTGTGGACTTCAACTCCCATGGCTGCCTGAGGAATTCTGGGGGTTGAAGTCCACAAGTCTTAAAGTTGTCAAGTTTGGAGGCCCTGACAGGCTCAATTACAGTCGTAAGTTGAGAACTACTTGTAAGTAGATAAGATAAAGCAAAGACTACAGTATTATTTCTTCCTGTTATGGTTTACAGTTAGGCTTCAATCTGTTCGAGACAATTTTTCCAAACTTGATTTATTTATTTTGTTCAGGTTGCAGTTGCTGGTGCTCCAGTCACGTTGTGGCTTTTCTACGACACGGGCTACACAGAGCGTTACATGGGACACCCGGACAATAACGAGCAGGGCTATTGTTTGGGCTCAGTAGCCATGCAGGCAGAGAGGTTCCCTTCCCAGTAAGCGCATGTGATATTAAAAAAAGAATAAAAAATGTTTTTATGTAAAAAAGAAAATATGCATGTCTCTAATAATATTTTTTTTCAGTGATGGTTTTGACAAATGATTAATCCGAGTATGTTTTTAAAGCTGATGCACAAATATATGTGCTCTGAGCAATGAAATTATTGGGGGGAAAACCAGTTCTAGTATTGTTGCTGGATTTAGCTTTGTTTGCTTTCAACCCAGTTGCTCACTTTAACTGGTTTTTATTTGTTCTTTGGGTCATTACGTGATTTTATAAACAACTGCATTCCTAGATGTGGGGAAAAAAATCTGCAGGAAATATAAGAGTTAAGCAACTGGATTAATAGTTAAGCAACTAATTACATTTTCTCTATTGTTTATTGCTTTCTTCAGGCCCAACCGATTATTGCTACTGCATGGATTCCTGGATGAAAATGTTCATTTTGCACATACTAGTATTTTGCTGAGCTTTCTGGTCAGGGCTGGAAAACCCTACGACCTCCAGGTAGCAGAGAAATTTGTGCAGCTCTAAAATGCAAGGATTAAAATTGGGTCTGGATTGGGCTGGAGGTCATATAACAGGGATCCCCAATCTCCGGTCTGCGGCCCGGTGCCAGGTTGTAGCCCATTGATAACTGGGCCGCAGCGGTGGTGGGTGAATATGTGCGCACACACGCATGAAGCTACATTTGTGAAAGCTGTGCGTGTGCGAAACCATCCCCCTTCCCTCCCTGCGCCGTTGCTGCTTCCGCCAGTGTGCCGAGCTGGAAAGGTTGGAGACCGCTGTCATACAAGGTGATCAGGCTGCGGCAGGATCAAAACCTTGGAGAGCTCCTGGCTAACTTTCAGGAGAGATGTTGTTCTTCTACCCCTGATAAAATAAGTTCAGTCAAGTCAGGTTGACCTCAACATTTTTTTTCCTGGCTTCAGGAGCCTGCAGTTCTTTCTGGAGCCTTAGAAACTTGGGGAACTGAGAAATTACAATGAGAACTTAGGATGAATAAAGGTGTTGTACAGGCAGTCCTTGACTTACCACTGGTTTCTTAGCAACCGTTTGAAGTTGCGACCTACCTGGAACAAGGGAGTTACAAGTCAGCCTCGAGGGTCATCTCCCCAGGGTCACATGAGCACTCTTCTGATGCCCCAGGGGTCATGTGACCACACTTCAGTTGCTACGCAACACAGCCATGTTTACTGCCATTTGCAGAGTCCCTTGGTCACGTGACCACATTTTATGGCAGTTTTTGTGGAAAAGCTGACATTGTTTCCCCCCTTCTTAAAGGCTGGCATCAAACAGCTCAGCTTTCCTTAGCTCTAGGTGGAAAGAAGCAGTCTAAATTTCTTGAAGTGCTGGGCCATGGGTGAACACCCAGTCACAGCTGGAGGAACAACAGATTTCTTTCGCTTTCTTTCTCCCACAGATTTATCCGCAGGAGAGACACAGCATCCGGGTTCCTGAATCTGGAGAACACTACGAACTTTACCTCTTGTACTACCTCCAGGAGAATCTGGGATCACACATGGCCGTGCTGAAGGCGATGCCCTCCTGCCAGTCCCAGGACTTCTCAGCATGACGCGTCCACGGCTGCTTAACCAAACATGAGTGCTTAAGTGATGCCTCCCTGGTGCCTGCTTCTAACCAAGAGAGAACTCTACCCACTGCCCGGCTTGATTGATGATCCTCCTCCTTTTTCAGGAGGCCCCCTGGTGCCATACAGAAGATTACTGTACAGCAAATGAATCATTTTAAATGTAAATAATAAAATAGATGGCTGTGTGGCCTCTTAGATCCTGGGCTTCCTCCCTAACCAGTGTAATGTTGGTTACAAAGCAACAAAGATGATTGGAGGTTAAACCGAACGATGAACAGTTGAGGGAAGTGGGCCTGTCTAGCCTCTCAAAGAGAAGGACTAGGGGTGAAAGGATAGCAGTCTTCCAACATCTGAGGGGCTATAATAAGAGAAGAGGGGATTGACCGATTTTCCAAAATATCTGAGGGCAGGAGAAGAAATAATGGATAGAAAGTTTCTCCTTGATGAGAGATACAACCTAGAACTAAAGAGAAATTTCATGACAGCGAGAACAATTAATCAGACATTTATGAGCCCATGATAGCCGCATTCATGCTGTTGTGGCTAAATATCACCCGTAGGCCTGAAGCGCTAAGTAGGATGTGAAGGCAACGTCTGGCGGATTGGTGTTAGGAGGGAAGACAGGCCTGCTATGAATCAGGGGTGCTTCCAAGTTCAATTCAAGGCTCCATCTGAGATTGTCATCTTAGTGGCTGGCAAAGGAAGGTCCTGAGAATGGGACCTGAGTTTTCATAATCTGTATATATTAGGGGGACAATTCTGGGAGTTGAAATCCACGAGTCATAAAAGAGCCAAGGCTGCCTACCCCTGGGCTAGACATACTTAGTTCCCTTAACCACGTGGTCCTCACGTTGTCTTGGGGGCTCCTAGAAAAAGGTTATCATTCCTAACATGTGAGTGTATACATATATAGCATGAGAAAGGCTTTTAACACAACATTTTTTTTGTCTTCCTGAAGATTCCATTCCATCAACTTGTAATGGGCTCATTCCTGCCTGAAATTAGGCACAGGGACCCAACTGGAGTCACTGCCATTAACTACACACATTGGTGCAAATCAGAAGAGACTCAACCACAGTGTTGATGGGTGGGATGGGTATGTTCTCTGTTGGTGACCCATTTTGTAAGGAAAAACCATTTTCCCACTTTTGTTCAATAAACTACAATGAGCCAAATGTTCCGTACCTTCCTACATCGTTCGGGGGCAGGCAGAAAAACAGAAAAGAAAAAAGAAAGTGGGAGATGTAAAACTATGTCAGTAAATTTCTCTTAGATCGCTCCACTCCGTTTTGATTTATAGTTTTGGATGTATCCATGTATTCTAATTGAAAGCCACTTTCAAATGAGATTGTACGACAACAGAAACATGCCCAGTACTTGTTTCTTTTATTGTCTCGTTGTCAGTACAGGCAGTATTATAATTAGGCATGTCAAAGAGCTTTTTACACACGGTGAAAATGAGATAATCTTAAGTACACACACTGATGCTTACTCTGTGACTGAAATCAAGCCAAGGTCAACACAGACATCCGATCTGAGTTCTCGTATCAGTTAAGTCACTTTTTGGACTAATTCGGAAGTAGATTGGCTGAAAATGTGAGGGAGCAGTTGATTTACAGCAAAGAGCTACATCCTGGAGTTTTCCAAAAATTATGGAAAAAGTATTATGACACTCTTAAAGATGATCTACCCCAAACCAGGAAATCAAAAACATCTTTTCTAATTAGTAAACAAAATTCCCATGCTTTCTTCACTCTTCAGACATTCTATATTAACCTTAACAAAATCCAACGGGACATTTCATTTAAACAATAAGAAACTGCTATTATTTTATAAATAGTCCCAACTGTATTTCCTAACCAAACTCATTAAGGCTACTCTAAATGTAACGAAAGGCTTCAGGAACGTTCCGTTCCATTGTACAATCTGGTTTTAAAAGACTTATTAGTTCCATAATAGTTTTGGATTGGGACACAATTTCTCTGTGGTGTCTGGAATGATTTACAAGATGCTCTGGACCTTGGCATATAGGGTGATCCTTGACATATGACCATAATATGACCTATATTGTAAGTGAGGCAGTCATCCAGAAGCTATAGGTAGAGTGGAGGAAGAATCTATACGATTCCCCAGGAGAGGAAACATGAAGACAGTGTTGAAGGAAAAGTCTTCATCATGGTTCAGTCCAAGCCGGGAATAAACAACATGGTGACTGCTTTAGAAAGAAGATTGCAGTTTATTGAAGAGGAGAGCCAGACAGAAAGATGGCTCTGGAAGAAAAGAGTGAGCACATGTAGTAGGAAGTGGGTTTTATACCCTCTTGGGCTTTTGTTTAGAGTTGTTTCCTGTTCCTGTTTGAGGCTTTGTATTTCCTGTGTCATGTACTTTGACCTGAGTCTGAGTGTGCCCCTTTGGGTTATTCCTATTATGTCCTGTCTTAAGAGTTTGGGTGGGGTATGTAGATTTTAGATGTCTTCATCTTCCTAAGCTTCTAGCTGGAGGGCTCCAACCTTCCTGAATGGATTATCACATCTGCATTTCTACAGAGCTGGTTTCTGCTTGGGGGAGGGAGACTTGGGGCTATTAAGAAAAAACTGGATATGCTTTTCTGCCTCTTTAAGATCCTTTGAGGGGATATAATATTCTGCCCTTTTAATATTTCCTTCTCTGGAGGGGCTGACTTCCCACAACAGCATTGGAATAGAAATGTACCTTTTGGCTTTCATTGGAGAGACACTGTAGGAGGGAAGATTTAAATTCGCTGAAAAGGGGTAAGAATCTCATCCCAGTTGAGCAATCTGTCGCTCCACTCTTGGGTGGGCTTCTGCTTCTGTTACTCCAATCTGTTATTCTCTTCTCTTGGCAGCTTCATATGTATTTATCACATCTAGATTATTTTGTTCACTTAATACTAGAGGGTTGAAAAGTCTCTCTTGCAAGTTCAAAAAGTATTTGACCACTGTCCAGGAGAGGGCGCTCTTGTACATCTAACGGCCAGCATTAGGAGCTCACTGGCAGTGTTGCTGGATCTGCACAACTTTAAGCTGGGTGGACTTCAGCTCCCAGAATTCCATAGCATGCTGTCTGGGGGATTCTGGGAGTTGAAGTCCACATAGCTTAAATCCACAAGTCTTAAAGTTGCCTAGTTTGGAGACCCCTGGATTAACACATAGGAACTTTCTCCTTAATTCCAGGTTGCTTCTCTCTTATAAGTCCAATCAGTGGAATTTATTTACTAAAAAAAGTTTGCATTAAGAATGCATTCGACATATTCCAGTAACTCCCAATTAACCTATTGGCTGCAAAATGAAAATAATTCAAGCTCTGTGAACTTGAAAAAAACAGTTACTATCAGTTCTTTGGTAAGTTACATTTCACCCCAGCGCAGAAGAAGCATGCAAGACATTTCAGTTTTGTTTACAGATGGTGCATAAATTATATGCAGACAGAAACTCTTTGAACGGGAGCAGAATAAACCTTTAAAGGCCAACATGTAAAATGGAATGGAAATTGGCAGCCTTGTTAGGAATTGTTTTGCTCTCTGCAGTTCACGGCTACGTCTTTCCATGGCTGACTGCTATTACAAATATCTGAATGTGAACTCCACAGCAAATACTGGGAGGATCTTTATAGAACGTTTTCCTTACATCCTTAGCAGCAGGAATAATGGAGCTGACAATAAAATATTCTTCTAAGTACTTTATTTTCTAGGACTCGTTTTGCCACTGCAAAAGAGTAGCTCTTGATTGGTTCAGATTGGTTCAGACCAATTTCCAGCTTTGTTTGTTTATTCCCTGTCTTTGTTATTTCTATAAATAATAAACAAGGCGGGACGTAGAACTCACCAACTCTGGCTGATTGGCCCAAAGTCACCCAACAGCTTTCATGGCTAAGGCAGGACTTGAACTCATGGTCTCTTGTTTTCTAGCCTGGTGCTTTAACCACTGGACCAAAACTATGAAATAAAGGATTTTCTGCTCACTTTCCACCTTTCCTCTCAAATGTTCAGATGTATAACAGGACCACAGAATTCCTAACTATTGACTGGTGTGTCCTAGAAGGAAATTCTATCTGTACACAAATAAAATAAGCACAAATTTAAGCTTAGTTGAGATCATTATTTGCAGGCACCAGCATCAACACATTTCGCCTGAGAAATGCCTGCAAACCACGCTCCATTTCTGGTAATAATTCCAAGAATGTTATCTTTCGCAGAACACATAAAGAATATTTTATAATGACCAATTAATTTTGCAGGATGGGTGATGTACATTTTCCCCAAGACCTTGCAAAAAATAAAATAAAATAGCACAGTGAGACAAACAGTACAGTTGTGTCAGAAGAGGTCAGCTTGCGATGCAGCATAAACTTTGCAACCGAAAAGTTTATACTAGCCACGAAATATAATATTAGCTAAAATGCCAGGACGGGTTCTTTGATGTACAGAAACCCCAACTGTAAAATATGAACAGGCTCCTATATCAGCTTCATTAGAGTCCTATTTTGAGGATAGCATTAGCAATTTCTTATTAAGTGGGATACACTGGATGAAATGAAATGTGCTAATTGTCTTTGCTTGGATCTTTCAGTTACTAAATTAACCCATGACCTTTTAGTGAAAATATGGAGCAACAGATGGAAGTTCTCAAATGAAACTGTCCTAAGACCAGGGTCCAACACAGTGTTAATTTCATGCTGATTTACAAGCTAACGACGACAACCAAGTTATGCTTTGTGCAAAAGGAATAAAATGAAATTAAATAACAGAATAACAGAGTTGTAAGGGACTTTGGAGGTCTTCTACTTGTTGAAAGAAAAATCTTCATCAGGGTCCACTCCAAGCCGGGAATAAACAAAATGGAGACTGCTTTAGAAAGAAGGTTGTAGTTTATTGCAGAGCAGAGCCAGACAGAAATGTGGCTCTGGGAAAACTAACAACATATTGCTGGAGTGATGGGTTTTTATACCTTCTTGGGCTTTTGTATTTGGAGTTGTTCCTGTGGCATGAACTTTGACCTGAGCTTTTGAACGTGTCATTTTGGTATTCTGATGGTTGTGGGTTAATCCTAATATGTCCTAAAGGTCACGTCCTGCTTTCCTGGGGCTGGGCTGATGGCTTACTTCCTGTGTTGGGATTTTTGTGGGTGAGGTTGCCGGTTCTAATCCTATCACTCTGCTATTGCAGTATATTGCAGTGACCAAAATTGGATGCAGTATTCCAGGCGTGGTCTTACTGAAATGTCATGGGCTACAAAAGCTTTGGGGTTTAAGGATTTCCACCTTAGAGTCTAGGGGCTTACTAGCTGCAGAAAGGGGAAGAAATTGCTGTTAGAGATGCAAATGTTGGCATGCAAGATATTTAAGTTGTTAAAACTTTTCCTGCGCCTGACAGGACTGAGTGAAAAACATCTTTATGGAGATGAATTACAGATGGAGTTGTCTGGTGAGCTAAAGCACCAGACAAATGAGGCAAGTGGGGGAATACCCCGAATTCCCAGGGGTGATATGCTTGAAAACATTTAATTGCTTCACTTCAAAATTCCTCTTTCCAATGTTACAAAAGTGTTTAGCACTCAGTGCTTCAGCTGTTCTTAAAACATGTCCCAAAACCAGTTAAATCCCTCATTATCCATCAAGTCCCATGAGAAAGTTAGATTTAAAAACAAAAACCAACAACAGACACACAATTGTTATGTATGCCTGTTTAACAAAAGGAAGATCCAGGAAAATTCAGTACAGGTAGTCCTTGACTTAAAACCGTTCATTTAGTGACTGTTTGAAGATACAACATCACTGAAAAAAGTGACTTACGACTATTTTTCATACTCGCGACTGTTGCAGCCTCCCCGTGGTCACGTGATCAAAATTCACAGGCTTGGCAACTGGCACGTATTTATGACGGTTGCAGTGTCCTGGGGGAGGGGGTCACGTGATCCCATTTTGTGACCTTTTGGAGAGCAAAGCCAGTGGAGAAGCCAAATTCACTTAGCAGCCCGTTGCGACTAACTTAACTGTAGTGATTCACTTACCAGCTGTGGCAAGGAAGGTCATAAAATGAGGCAAAGCTAATTTAACAATTGTTCCACTTAGCTACAGAAATTCTGGGCTCAACTGTGGTCATTAAGTTGAGAATTACTTCTACTTGGGAGCCATCTGTAAGCTAAATCTGTGCAAGGCAGATACCCAGCGGTATTTTTGAAGCCTGCCCTTATCCAGTAGTTCAAAAATGCCGCATAGCTTCTCATAAGAAAACGGAGGGCGGAATTTACAGGGCAGTTTGCCTAAAGCCGAGCGAAATCGCTTGCTTGAGAAGCCTTTTAAAGTCTTAAGCTGTCTGCGCAGCCCCCTTGTCAGAGTTGACTGTTTTTGAGCTGGCGTGACTATTTTTATGTTCTTCTCCTCGGTTCCCATCCTGAAACCTTTACAAAATAAGTTATGCCTATTTCTGCTTTTTTAAGGGTAAGAATTTTGGGTGGCACAATAGGAAAATAAAGATTTCTTAAGTGCATTGCATATTAAAATTGTCCTTGCGCTTTTTAAATAGACTGCACTATGTCTTTTCCGATGGGGTTCACTCTGGACATTACGTAGAACCCTTTCCAACGTACAGACTGTCCTCAACTTACAAACACAATTGAGCCCCCAAATTTGTTGCTAAGCAAGATGCTTCTTAAGTGAGTTTTGCCTCGTTTTACAACTTTTCTTGCCACAATGGTTAATGAATCCTGCAGTTGTTAAGTGAATCGTTTGGTCATTAAGTGAAGCTGGCTTGTACCATTGAATATGCTTGTCAGAAGCCGGCTGGGAAGGTTACAAATGATGATCACATGACCCTGGGACAGGGCAACCGTCATAAATACATGCCAGTTGCCAAGCATCCTAACTTTGATCGTGTGACCACAGGGAATGCTGCATTGGTCGTCAATGTGAAAACTGGTCATCAGTCACTGCTGTCGTACCTTCAAACAGTCACTAAACAAATGGTTGTAAGTCAAGGACTGCCTTTATTGATCATATTGCCCAGAGGTAATTAATCAAAGCCACAAAAGAAACTTCTTTTCACATTGCATAATTGTGTAGGACATAACTGGAAGCATAAAAGCAGCAGAGACCACAAAGGTCTTGATGACAACCTTAGCTCTACAGTTGTCCTTGTCAATTTAAGGTGCATATTCCCAAACAAGAGTGACAGGCAACTTATGTCACAAAACCACTATATGAAATACACATGAGTCACATCCTGAAATCACTCCAAGATTACCGGCTCATACAGTAATAGATAAGTTTTGCCTTTGTCCAGTGGTCGTCTAATTCTGGCATGGTGGCATTTGAAGAGTCCCCGTGCAGTTTTACACTCGATAGTATTATCACTCTTAGCAAAAGTTGAGATGCAAATAATAATAGACAAAACGAGCCGATTGTGCAGTTTGCTAAAAGTGCATCAGCATATTCAGAGAATTATACAGGTAGTACTTAACAATTCAGTGACGGTTTGAAGTTGCAACGGCGCTGAAAAAAGTGACATACAGCCAGTTTTCACACTTGTGACTGTTCCCTGTGGTCACGTGATCAAAATTCGGATGCTTGGCAGCTGACTCACATTTATGACGGTTGCAGCGTCCTGGGGTCACGTGATCCCCTTTTCAGACTGCCTGACAAGCAAAGTCAATGGGGAAGCCAGATTCACTTAACGTTACTAACTTAACCGCTGTTAAATGAATCACTTAAGTCAGAAAAACGGACTTACGACTTGCAGTCACACTTAAGACTCTTGTACCACTCTCACGTTCATGTGACTGCAATTTGGACACATTGGCAACTGGCTCAGATTTATGACCATTTGCATCATCCTGTGGTACTGATTGCAATTTGTTACCTTTTGGGGGGGGGCAATTTCCAGCAAAAAAAAAGCCCATTGGGGCAATTGGATTCCTTTAACCACATGGGTGATTTGCTTAACAACTGGTTGAAAAAATTGTAGTAAAATCAGGTCCAACTCGACTTACGGCTGCAATGACCTAAAATGGAATTCCAGTACCAACTGCGGTTATAAGTCAAGAACTACCTTTATATGGTCTTGTAGCTGAATCCAATCACTACAGATAGAAGCCCACTCAACTACTTCCAAACTAAGAAGAAAGTAAGATTTGAAAGTTATATCTGGGATGGTTTTTGGCATTAAAAAGGAGAAAGAGACACATACTTTTTCAACGTTTAATGCTCAACAGAAATAAAAGTGCAACATTAAACCATCACCAACATTACAACCATGATTATTCCTGGGCAAAATAGACTACCAAATCCCACCTGACGTTACTCACTAGTTGAAATATCTACTACAGTCTTTGTGATCACTTACTACAACCAACTTCAGCCTACAATTGTGCATAGCTCATATTGTCGCTCCCATGTTTTCTTCTTCAGTTCACTTACACAACTACAACATCAAGCTTACTAGAATTAGAACCGATGGAGCAAGTTAATTACAAGCACCTCTACTTTATTGCTTTCAATTAACTTAAATCCTGGCATTTTTATTAATTTCAGATTTTGCACTTTAATGAGAAGTAAAGGCACATTTTTATATGAAAACTTCTACTGAAGTTTTGCTTCCAAATTAGGCTTGCAGCATTATGAAGTGGAAGATTCTTCCACCCTTTGGAAAAAAATAATCAAGGAAGCCTATATTTCAATTAAATAAAATATTTCCTTCCAAAATTCCATAGTTTACTTTTGACTGCAAAAAAAAAAGATTTAAATAATACCGAATATTGCTGAGATAATGGTAATATTTTTCGTGATCAAAACATACTTTTCAATGAAACAGATTTGCCCTAAGTGCATATTTAGATAAAGGTAATTAATAAACTTTCATCGGTTTTGCTCTTTGTGGACAAAAAACCCTGATTCAGCTGTTGATATACAATAACAAATAGTGAAATCAGCTTAAATTATAAGTGCAAATCCATTCATTTGTGCCACAATGTAAGCATCGGTTGAAAAATTCTACTGAAAGAATCTGTCAAATTACCTCTGGAAAGACCCCTAAATTTAAATTTAAAATCCTGACATTGCTGCCAATAGATAGCCAACAGATTGTCTAAGATAGTACCTAACGTAAAAAAGAGAGAACAAAAAAAAAAAAGACCCAAAATGTGTACATACCAAGCTATATAAATATTCAAAAATAATTACTGTGACTTGCAGAAATTGTGTCTATCGTATCGTGAAGGCAAGACCGTGGTTGATAAGCTGTGTGATCAATTTCTCAAACTGGCAACTTTAAGATGGACGGACTTCAATCCCAGAATCCCCCAGCCAGCCATGTATAGAGTATTGTGCTCTGCTTGGCTGGCTGGGGAATTCTGGAAGTTGAAGTCCACCCATCTTAATAGCAATAGCAATAGCACTTAGACTTATATACTGCTTCACAATGCTTCACAGCCCTCTCTAAGCGGTTTACACAGTCAGCATATTCTCCCCAACAATCTAGGTCCTCATTTTACCAACCTTGGAAGGATGGAAGGCTGAGTCAACCTTGAGCCGGTCAGGATCGAACTGCTGGCTGTGGGCAGCATCAGCTTGCAATGCTGCGTTCTAACCACTGCACCACCATGGCAATAGAATAGAAATAATAGAAATAGAAATAGCCCTTAGACTTATATACTGCTTCATAGTGCTTCACAGCCCTAAGCAGTTTAGAATCAACATATTCTAACCCCCCCCCCCAACAATCTGGGGCATTTTACCAACCTCGGAAGGATGGAAGGTTGAGTCAACCTTGAGCCGGTCAGGATTTAAGCAAAATCAATGGAGGAAGCTAGATTCACTTAATATTAAACCGCAGTAGAAATGGTTGTAAAAATTGAATGTTGTCCATAATGCTTCACTTAACCACCATTCCACTTAACAAAGAATTTTCTAGTCCTAATTGTGGTTGTAAGTCAAGGACGATTTGTATGTTTATTCTGGGCAAGTCACATGAATCAGTATGATTTTGATTGAAATGATCAGGCTTTTGTCATTTTTTTTAAAAATGGCTACTCTTCTTAAATTGAGCAAAAATGGTATTTTCCTACATTCACTTAAATCCTTTTTCAAATAGAAACAAGGAAACTACCAAAAAAAAAAAAATCTCTTTGAGAGTCCGCAGCATCCGTCAAATGAAATCTAACATAATTTGAGCAAAGAATGCTGCTAAAATATTATTGTATCAGAAAATTGTACGCTCCAAGTCCTCAGTTCCTTGTTAAGGGCAAAATGATGAGAAATCCCAAGGCTTAAAACTCAACGATGCAGCAATGAAGCTTCTAGGCTTTAAAAACAAATCTTGGAAATTTTACTGTTTAAAACCAGGGTCCCTCTTCTTCCTCCTCTTCCCCCTCGTTTTCATTCAAGTAGAGGAGGGCAATTTTCTTCTCATCCGAAATCACTGATCGTTGGTCAACCATTCTTTGCAGTTGCACCGTCTGATCAAACGTGGACGCCTCTAACTTCTGTTCACCTTCTGGGTCTTTCCAAGCCTCTTCCGTGCTGCCTTCAGGCTGACCGTTGCCTGCCTCTTTCCTACTTGATACAACTAAGGTAGCTTGTGGTTCTCTCCCAGCCATTTTGCTTATGTCCATGTGGAAGGTGAAGGATGCTTCTTTCTGTCCTAGTTTGATTTGTCCAACAGGTCTACTGTTTTCTGATGGGCCATCTGTAGGGGGAAACTCCATACCGCTGAAGGGTTGAGCATCCGGACCATGGAGCCCTTGCCCAATCTGAATGTGATGTGTTGATCTGCTGATCTCTGCAGGACTTATTTTTCCCAAGGTGTCTTCTTTTGAAGAAAGAGTTCCTGGAGATTGCAAAACAAAACCTTGGGACATGATGTCATGGCTCTGGACTTCTTTCTGCCCTAGTTTAATATGATGTACTGACCCTTCAGAAGGAAACATCTGCCCCCATTCACTAACCTTTTGGTGCTGTTCAGAACTGGGCTCTGTAAAAACAACTTGTTCACTTACAAATTCCTTTGGACTTAATTTAATATGTCTGATTGTAGTGTTAACATCCAGCACCTTCTCCTCACCAAGCTTGATTGAAGCATCATCTGATGTCTTGCTGAAGGAACCTTCATAAATGTTTTGGTCAGATGTTGGTGTGTCCTTCTGTCCTAATGTAATCTTTTTTACTGTTTCTTCAGACAGATCATAGTGTCCAGTGGGAAAAGGCCCTTCATATATTTCTCGTTCAATATGTACTTCTTTGGGATCTATTTGAATGTGTCTTATTGATGTGCTGATTGCTGTGGGATCTTCCATCCTGGAAAAGATATCCCTGCTATTATCTGATGACAAGTCTGAAGCTGATCCCTCAAAAGTGGCCTCTTCAACAATTTGTTTTGAATCCAATGTGATATGCTTGGAGGATCTAATATCACTTGAAACCTGGGTCTGAGTAGAATTTTCAGGATAACTCACTTCTTCAGATGTATAAATAGGACTTCTGTAAACTATTCTTTCTGTGGTTTCCATTGTTTCAGGACTCAGCTTCACTGACTTCATGAATTGACCTGCATCTCCTGAGACTCCTGTTGTAAAGTCCATTGTTCCAAACTCTAAAGTTTCAGAAATAGGACCTTCATAAAAAACATGTTCAGTCTTGCGAATTTCAGTTGGACCAACTACAACATGCCTGATGCGTCTGTTGATATCAAATGACTCCTTAGAAGGATAGGCCTCTTCTCTCTTACTGGTTTCTTCTGTGGTCCAAAGTGTGGAGGAAACATCTGCTTGATGTTTTTCATCCTGCCAGGTTTCTGGTTCTTGTATATATTGAACAAAGCTACCTTCCTTTGGTGACTGTTTGGGAAATTTTATCTGCTTGGTCACAACTTCACCAAGCAATTCTGTACTCAACTGATCAGAGTCTATTGTCTGGGATAAATTAACTTCTGCAACAATAGTAAATAGACCCTCTTTTTCGGGATGCTCTACTTTTTTAATATCCACTTCCAAAGTACTAGAATCAGCTTTGTCCTCTTTTGTGAGTTCACCGAGTTCTTGTTTCACGTGTTCTGGAAGAGTTGCTTCCAGTTTTCCTAGTGCCTCTTTCAACTGATGTTTAGGGTCCTTTGCCTTTTGAGAAAAAACCTCCTTTATTGACTCCTGAAATTCATGTGGGATTTTAATCTCCTTCTTAATAACTACAGATTCAGCATGGGCCACCTCTTCTTTTGGGGATTCTGCCTTTGAAATAAAGGGTCTGGCATCTGCACCAATTACTTGATAAATCAATTCTGGTGAAGCCATGGTTTCCTTTATGTTGGTTTGAGACCCTTCCAGAAATTCATCTTGCCAAGCATATTTGACAATTGATTCTTCTTCAAAATGGATTTGACCATAGGTAGAACTTTCTCCTTCCACATATCCAAATGGGTATTCATCTGGAGTGGAAACAAAATACTTTTCTTCATCCACTACCTCATCCCCCTCAGATACTTCTTCCACGTGAGGCACAATCTCATCGGCTTGTTTTTCCTTAAGGTCTCCAGCGACACTTGTGGTCGCTTTCTCTTTATCACTATAATATGGATGTTCTCTCAAATTGAGTAACATATCTTCTGCTTCTTCTACTTCAAATGGTGTTGAAAACTCCACCTTTTCATCAACTATAGTTGCAGGCTCTTCAATTATTTCAACTTTAATAGTCCTTTTGGCCTTGTCTTCCATTCCTTTCATCCCAGCATTAATTATACCTTCTATGACATTTTCATCTAAACTTCCTTTAGTATCATCCAATACTTTTTTAATATCTTTCTCTAAGAAACTTTCCAATTCAGACTTATTAGACATGCCAAGTCCATCTCTTTGAACTGTGGACTCTATGCTGAACTCGGTTTTCACTTTTCCATCTTCAGAAATGTCTTTCTTTTCAGTTATTTTAGCTTCAGGAGGAAGTCCTTCCTCTGAAGACTTTTGTACAAAACCTTTAAGGATGTCAGAAACGATGTTCTCTGCTATACTCTCAGTGAGTAAAGTATCTACTTTAGAATTCTCTTCTTTGCTTATATTATCCTGAGTTATTTCATTGCCGAGTTTAAATTCAGTTCCACTTTTTGATTTTTCTGGAGAAGTTTTGAGGTCTTGTAGTGTTATCTCTGTGTTGTGATTCTTCTTTAGGATTTTGCCTTCAGTGTGTCCTGAATGAACGGGGATTTCGACAGTTTCTTGGCTTTTTGAGGAGATGCTCACAATTTTCTCCCTTCCAAATGTTGCTGTGATTTCTGGATTCTTTCTTTCTTCTGCCTCCACTTTAACCTGTTCCTCCCATCTTCTAGAAGGCCTCTTATCTTTCATTAATTTCTCTTCTTTTGTCTTATCTTTAAAGATATCCTGTTCCACTGTATTCTCTTTGTTATCCACACTTTCCTTAATTTCAACTTTCTTTTGAACATGTTTTTCTACCCCCTTCAATTTCTCATCGTTCTTCATGGCAGAACCTGTTGCTTCTTTGGTCACCTTCTGCTCAACTCCTTCTACCAAAAGGTCTTTTTCTTCTTTTCCTGGTTTGCCCTCTTTGATTAGTTTATTGATCTGACCCAAAATCTCTTCCGTCTCATACTGACCTCCTTTAGAAGAAGAGGTTGAGCTGTAAGGCAGAGGTGGAGAGACGATCACTGTTGCCTTGATGCCTTCAGAACTCATTGGCCTTCTCATTTGCTTCTGAAGGATGGTGGACTCTTTTAAAGCAGACACCATACTTCCCATTTCGGTAGTCTTCCTTTCAGGCGCTGGTGGTCTTGGCTGACCGTCACCTTCTCTGCTCATCCGGTAAGGCGACATAAAGCTCTGTCTTTCTCTTTGTCCTATGAGGCTTCTTTCGTGAGTCACGTACTTTTTGGCGGCAGCTGAAGGATGCTGTCCCAACCCGAAGGGTTCCTTTGGGAGCGCTTTTTTCTCGGGGAAAACTGTTTGCTTCGCAGCACTTTCTGTCCTAGATGAAGAAACCACCGAGCGGCTAATATTTGTTTGTGGGAATTTGTATCTTAGGTCAACATTTGGAATCGCGGGAAGAGCTCTCTTTCCTTTCTCCTGTTGATAAGCGGAGTATCGGTTGCTGTATTCGTAACGTAGTTTTCGGTCATCTGCCAGGAGAGAAATGAAAATGGCTGTTAATACCGTGTAATCAATTTATTAATTTTATTAATTAGTTAGTATTTATTTATATTTATTTAGTTCATATCCCACCTTTATTATTTTTACAAATAACTCAAGGCGGCAAACATACTGTATCCAACACACCTCCCTCCTCCTATTGTCCCCATAACAACAGCCCTGTGAGGTGGGTTGGGCAGAGAGAGAATTACTGGCTCAAATTCCCCAGCTGGCTTTCATGGCTAAGATGGAACCAGAATTCTCAGTCTCCTGGTGATTGGCCCAAATCACCCAACCAGCTTTCATGGCTAAGGCGGAACTAGGACTCTCAGTCTCCTGGCGATTATATGTCGCCCACCTCACTCTGAAAAGCGACAAATGACATTTCTGTGCACAAAATGAAATGCAAACCCATGACACATATTCCGTGTGTAATTATTACAAGAAATTTACAAGGAAGCCATAATATTCTTTTCTACAAAATAAAGTTCACGCATGTTTTTAATTTCTTTCAATCAGCTTTCAATCAGCACAACTGTGCTTGCGCTAGACTTACGTAGCCCAAATATAACGACAACTTTATAAATTGCTATGATCTTTTCTTATTTTGCAGGATGGATCCTACAAGTCTTAATACCGGTAGTCCTTGGTTTACGACCACAATCGGGATCAGAATTTCCATTACTAAGCGAGGTGGTTAATTAAGCTGGGCTTGATTTTTTTTTGCCACTGTTGTTAAGGAAAGCACTGCAGCTGTTTAAGTGAATCACACGGTTGCTAAGAGAATCCAACTTCCCCCGCTGACTTTGCACGTCTGAAGCAGCTGATTTTACAACCTGGGGCAAAACTCGCTTAACCACCATCTTGCTTAACAGCAGAAAGGTTGGGCTTAGTGGTGGCCATAAGCTGAGGACTACTTGTGTATCTAATTATACAGGCTCCATATAGTTTGGAGCAAAACAGGAATGGATGTTGATCCATCCCTTCTGCTTTTAAATGCATTTATACATTTGCATATTTCGTACCTTGGGGTAATTTTCTTCCATGTTCTTCATTCCACATGAGAATCCATTGATTATTCTCTCCTTCTAGCAAAACTCTGACGTACAGAAAAACAAAAGTGAATTAATAACAAATTAAAAGGTGTATGTCCGGTGTAGTATTTCTCAATCAGAAATATGAACATGACCCAAGCAACTATCCTGGCAGTGTCTACGGAGATTCTCAACCATCCAGATCATGGTTGCCGCAAAGGTGCTTTTCCAACTGGACTTTCTTGTTTTTCTTTGAAGATGTTTCGTTTCTCAGTATCATTGCTAACTGACAATTGGCTCATACTCTGAAAACAGAATTTTTTAAAAAAGTATCCTTTGAATTTTTTTTAAATTATATTATGGATAGATATAAAAAGATGTTTAAGGTACAATAAATCAATCTGCCAAATTTACTGCTGGTAAAAAATCTCTCCGTAAGAAATGCTAAAGTTACAACTATGGCAATATGGACATTCTCCTACAGCTGCTATTAAATGCTGGGCTCATTAAAGGCAACAAGTACAATATATTAAACTGTGTAATCTCTCAAAACAACATTTTCAGTTTCACTGCCAAATGTTTTGAGCAGATAATGCAGGATGGCTATCTATGCTCTATAAGGAGTTCTTTTGGAAACGTTTGATAGCTAAAATTCCTGGAAAGCAATAAGAAATTCAAGTCAGTTGCCTTTAAAGACCCACAATATTTAAACACCGAGGAAATCTTATTCTATTCATTCTGAGTTATAAAACAATAATGCAGCCAAGGAATTTCATAGATTTGTAATCAGTTTCAACATTGCTACATGAATTGAAATGTCCCATAAGTAAAATACAGTGGAAGTAAATAAATGAATGGATATAATTCTGTGTTGAATACAGTGATTAATTTTATTTGTCCTCTGCAAATATATACATGTATATATTCTGGGAGCTGAAGTCCACGAGTCATAAAAGAGCCAAGGTTGCCTACCCCTGGTGTAAAATGAGGCTAAGGCTTCCCTTGTGTCTTCCTGCAGAGTAAAATATATATTTTACCTGTAAGTTGCAATTTCAAGGCTGAGGGCGGCCTTCACTTGCAGGAGTTCATGGTAATCCTTCAGGTACTCTGCAATGGACACGGTTAAGTAGTTCTTCTCTTCTTCAAGGGCTTCAATTATCATCTAGACCAAAACACAGAAATAATCACGATTGTCGGCTGGTTCAGGTAGTCCTCAAGTTACAACCACAGTTGAGCCCCAAACTTATGTTGCTAAATGAAACATTTGTCGGGTGAGTTTTGCCCCATTTTACGACCTTTCCTACCACAGTTATTACGTGAATCACTGCAGTTGTTAAGTTAGTAACACAGTTGTTAAGTGAATCTGGCTTCCCCATTGACTTTGCTTGTCAGAAAGTGGCAAAAGTGGATCATGTAACCTCGGGGCACTGCGACCGTCATAAGTATGAGCCAGTCGGCAAGCGTCCGAATTTTGATCACGTGACCAAGGGGATGATGCAACGGACGCCAGTGTGATAAATGGTCATAAGTCATTTGTTTCATTGCTGTTGTAATTTCGAACGGTCACTAAACAAATGGTTGTAAATCGAGATATGTTCATGTGATCAAAAGCCCAGCTTTATCAATGCTTGGTTTGCAGCGAGGGGGTCTTTCCACACTGGAGCTTTAAGCTGCTTGACACCTGTGCATAAGCTACCTGGAAACCATTCTTTAGAGATTTGCAGATTTCAATACTTTCTTCCACCACGATAGCCAGGTAGTCAGTTGTTTGATCACAAACCATGATGAGTTGATCCCACCAGGTTCTTTACATCTCCCACCCATTCCAAAAAAGTGAGTAACTATCTATCTATCTATCTATCTATCTATCTATCTATCTATCTATCTATCTATCTATCTATCTATCTATCTATCTATCTATCTATCTATCTATCTATCTATCTATTTCCTCCCTCCCTCTCTCCCTTTCTCCCTCATTCTCTCTTTCTCTAACAGCTGCCTCTTCAGTGCCACAGATAATACCGGATGTTGAATGGAATTCTATCAATTTCCCAATCCTTGTCAATTTAAATCATTTGATTCCCTGCCCCCCCCCATGTTTGTTCAGCCAGTCCAGGGGGTGGGCCACTGTGGCCCCTTTGCGACCAGGCTGACTCAGGAATTCTGGGAGTTGAAGTCCACAGCTTGGAAAGAGGGCGTAGTAGATACACACCCTTGAGCTAGTCAGTTTCACTTGTCCTGCCTCCCTCCTCTCTGGCATGATTTAATTCCTGGTGTTGGTGTTTTTTGTTCCACACTATTTCAACGTGGAAGAATGCTCAAACAGGGTGGGTGGTGGGCAGCAGGAGGTGTAGATTACTAAATTACGGAAACCCTACCAAAATCCTGGAGTCCGGCTGGCTCCCCCCTCTGTAGGACTCTACCTGGCGGACGGCTGGTGAAGGGAAAAGCAAAGTCAGGGAAGGAAAGTCATCGTCTTGTGTTGCCTACAACAACTGGCACGCTCGTAAATCAACACCGTTCAGCAGTGACTTGGAAAGTCACAACAGAGGGCAGGGCAGGAAGCGGCAGGAGGGCTGGCTAACATCTCGCCAACCTTTTGGTGACAGGAGAGGGGCGCCTAGTGCTTTAACTCAAGAGTACGGAAAGTGCTTTGGCTCCATTACGACTGTTGAAAAGGCTGGGACAGCTTAGCCAGGCAAATATTGAGGGGAGACATAATGCAAGTCTTAAAATATCTCCCTTCGGCAGTAAGAGAAAGAAAGACAGGATCGCAACCATCTGCAACCTGCACCTACAGAAAAGGCATTCCGACAATCCAAATAAATATAATTCTGCCTCTTCCCATCGCAGTTGGGTTCTCAGACTTGGCCGTTGCTTTGGTTCATCATCCTTGTTTAGCAAGTGCCTCATTTAGCGGCCATTCCTAGTTCTGACAGTGATGAAAAGGCGGCTTTACAACTCATCTTTGTATTTACAACCTTTGCAGGCTTGGAAAGCTGAAGTCAAATGGTAAGCAACAGTTGCGGTTTCACTTAGTGACTGCTTCTCTTAAATGACTGAGTTCCCAGTACCAACTGCGGTCGCTAAATGACGATGATCTGTATTAGTACTTAGATGTGAGTAAAAGTATTATTGAAGTTTGTTAAGTTCAAGAACTCATTCAGTTCATAGTTTCTTAGAATATACAATAATAGGGTTGGGAGGGGCCTTGGAGGTCTTCTAGTCCAACCCCCTTGCTCAAGCAGGAGACCTACACCATTTCAGACCGATGGCTGTCCAGTTTCTTCTTAAGAACCTCCAATGATGGAGCACCCACAACTTCTGAAGGCAGGTTGTTCCACTGTTTCCTCAGGAAATCTCTCCTTAGTTCCAGGTTTGATCTCTCTTTAATCATCTTCCACCCGTTACTTTTTGTCCTGCCTTCAGGTGCTTTGGAGTGTCAGACCCGTAAATATTGGCAACAGCTATCACGTCCCTCCTTCTCTTCATTAAACTCAACATACCCAATTCCAGCAACTGTTCTTCCTATGTTTTAGCCTCCAGTCCCCTAATCATCTTCGTTGCTCTTCTCTGCACTCTTTCAAGAATCTGAACATCTTTTTTGTATCACTTGGATGCAATATTCCAAGTGTGGTCTTACCAAGGCCTTACAAAGTACTACTAACACTTTTCATGCTCTTGATGCTCTCCCTCTTTTGATGCCACCTAGGACTGCACTGGCTTTTTAGGCAGCTGCAGCACACTGCTGGCTCCATTCTTCATTAATGGGAACAAAATGTTTTCTACTGGAAATTGAGATAAAGAGCTGTATTAATTAACTTTCACCTAAGCCTTATTAAAAACGGCAGCCACAGGAAAGAAAAGGCCCTAATCCCTATAGTAAGAATATCATAAAGGTTGCTTTGCAGCCGTTTCATCCTTCCTAAAACATGAAGAAAAAGTTCAGAGCAGGTTCCCTTTCCCTTCTATTACAAAATCACAGAGGCCGTCCAAGGTGACTGATGGCCTGGAATTCAACATTAAGCAAAGATGTTCTTATTGTAATTAATTTCCAAACTGTGCTGCCAAAAAGCATGACGATGGCCATTAGCTTAATGGCAGTAAAACAGGAGGACCAAATTTCAGCAGATGAATTTATGGCTTTTCACAGCTCAGAGAATCCAGAGGCATATAACCCTGAACGCCAAAGGTTTGGGAACGGCAAGAGAGGTAGATCACTCTTACTTTTCTGCTCTCATCTGGGGGTTTGTCAGAGGCACTTAGTGGCACAGCAAAAATGTAAATAAATAGAACTTTGACGCACCTGGTGAGACTTTCCATACGCACAATTGTGTTATCTCAAATGCAACAAGAGATCAAAATGTATCCAACTGATAGCCACTGAGGTCCACACACATCTGGATCAGTGACCCTTCCAGCTACCACATATAGACCCCATTTGATATAGTGGTGAAGGTGCTGAACTAGAGAAATCAGAAGACAGCAAGTTCTAGTCCTACCTTAGGCATGAAAGCCGGCTGGGTGACTTTGGGCCAATCACCAGGAGGCTGTGAGTTCTAATCCCTCCTTAGGCATGAAAGCTAGCTGGGTGATTTTGGAGCCAATCACCAGGAGATGGTGAGTTCTAGTACTACCTTAGGCATGAAAGCCAGCTGGGTGACTTTGGGCCAATCCCTCTCTCTCAGCCCAGGGTGCTTCTTGTGGGAAAATAGAACTTGTCCCCTTGAGTTGGACAAAACAAAGCTGAGATACAAATCTTTAAGAAAGCAGCTAGCAAAGTATAATAAATATTGCAGGATCCAACCTGGGTCAGAGGTTTAGTCTTCCAAGTTTTTGGACTGGTGCAGAAGCCCATCTTCAGGAAACTTCTCTCTAGCCTAGCCGACCCAGGTTGGATCCTGCAATATTATCCTGGGACACATATATTCGCCTTCATTCGTGTAATAAATATACTGCTTATCCAAATGGCCCCAGAGATGTATTTATTACACTTTCCCAGCTGCTTTTTCACTCAATGGTACAGGTGTCATGACACCTGTCTCTTCACACTGAGTCCAACCGGCTTTCTGAAAAAAAAAAAAAAAAATAGCTGGTTGCCATTCCATCTGAGCATTTTATAGTCTTTCACCGGAGCCAAAATCTCTGCAGAATAATCATGGCAAGCTGCCCTCAGTGAAATTTAAACCTGGCCAAGCTATTTCCAACAGGGGAGGGTAGAAAGGGTGATGTGTCTTAATTTCTCTCTTCCAGAAAGAACATTTTGTCCTGGGCTTGGACAGGGGAAGCCAAAATGTGAGCCATCCAATCATTTTGTTTTGCTTCGTGGGGATAAGATGGAATAACTTTTCCAGGCTGAATTTAATTCCTTAACCGCCGAGGAATAACTGCTTGTAGGCTTGTAGCAAGGGGAAAGTAACAGGAACACGGGTCTAGAGCAGCGTTTCCGAACCTTGGAAGCTTTCAGGTGGGTGGACTCCAACTCCCAGAATTGTAAAATGGAGCAAAACTCACTTAACAACTGTCTCACTTGGCAACACAAATGTTGGGCTCAATTGTGGTCATAAGTCCAGGACTGCCTGTACTGACAAATGCCACACCTATAAGGAAGGATGTCAAAGCATAAACTCTCTCTTGCTTTATTGGGGGCCTTGGTTAAACTATCAGTGGGGGAAACAGCTTTGAGGGCAAATTACTCCGTCCGCAGGTTCTCTTGAGCTGAAATGTGGGAATAACACTGACCTGTCTTATCAGGAGATTGTAAATGTTCCTGGGATTATATATATATATATGCGATGGCATGAAAGCATTAGAGGAAAACTAAATTAATCAGTGGAATTGTTCGCCTCCAGAAGTTGTGAATGTTCAGTTACTGGAGGTTTTCAAGAAGAGATTGGACAGCAGTTTGTCTGGAATGGTGTTGGGTCTCCTGCCTTAAGCAGAGGGCTGGACTAGAAGACCTCCAAGGTCCCTTCCCACTCTGCTATTCTCTTATTCTGTCTAGTACCGTTAGTTCAGATCGCTTTGGGTCTGGCAAAGGAAAGCAAAACGGGCATGTCCGAAAAGGAAGGCGAGTCACCTTTTCCTACCGCTGTTTAAAAAAAAAGAAAAACCTGGAACAGGCCAAGGGACTTTTCGGACGACCCAACCCGCTTTCTAAAAAGGGCAGCCGGCGCTTCTGGGCGCTTGAGCCCCCGCATCTGGGCTCCCTCGCTCGCCCTGCCCGACGGCCTCACCTGGTACTCGGCCAGCTCGGCGCCGTGGCGCTCCTGCTGCGCCAGCCGCTCCTCTTCCAGCCGTTCGCCCAGCGCGCAAAGCTCCTGGCAGCGGCGCCACAGCTCCTCGAGGCGGCGGCGGCTCTCCTGGCTCTGGGCGCGCAGCTTCTGCAGCTCTCGGTGGCCGAAGCGGCCTTCGAGCTCCTGCAGCGCCCGCAGCTCGGCCTCGTAGCGCTCCAGGCTCTGCGCGCAGCTCCAGCGCAGCTCCAGCGCGTAGTCGGCCTCCAGCCGCCGCCGCTCCACGCGCCCAGCCCGCAGGACGCGCGGGGCAGGCAGCAGCGCGGCCGGGAGCTGCTTGCGCGCTTCCCGCAGCCGCTCGTGCTCGCCCAGCAGCTGCTCCAGCAGCGCCTCCAGGGCGGCGCAGTCGGCCAGCAGCCCCGCCAGCTGCTGCTGCTGCCGGGCCAGCTCGGGCTCCAGGCGGCGGCGGCGCAGCTCCCCGGCTTGCGCGCTCAGCCTCTCCAAATGGTCCCGCTCTCGGCGCAGCGCTTCGCGCTCCAACTCGGCTTCGCCTTTAGCCCGGCTCAGGTCGGCCACCACCCAGCGCAGCTCGGCCACCTCCTGCTCCGTCTCCTGCCAGCGGCAGGCGCGCCCTTCCCGGCCGCGCAAGGCGGCCAGCTCCTGCGCCAAGAGCCGGTTCTCCTGCTCCAAGTCCAGCACCCGCCGCACGTAGAGCTCCAGGCGGGCGTTGAGCTCCCGCAGCTCGCTCTGCTCGTCCCATTCGTCCCGCTGCATGGCCGGTCGACTCCCTTCTCCGGCTCCCAGCCCGGCCCGAGGGTCTCCTCCGAGGCGCACCGCCGGCTCTTTGCCCGCCCGCAGCTGCTCGGGCGTTTTGGAGACGGGACGGGACGGAGGGTGGAGAGAGCGCCGGGCTGAGGCGGCGGCCAAGCAGCGACCTCTGCTGGCGGCTTTCGCTCCTGGGGAGGCCTCGAAGCGGGACCCACCCAAAGTTCCCTTTCCTGCAAGAATTTGGCGTGGGCGGGGGAGAAGCGACTGGACGGTCGCTTGTCTGAAATGGTATAGGATCAGAATAGAGCTGGAAGGGACCAGCTTCTTGGAGGTCTTCTAGTCCAGAGTCAATAGGGAAACCAGATTCACTTAACAACCGTGTTCACTAACTTAACAACTGTTGTGACTCACTTAACAACTGTGGCAGGAAAGGTCATAAAATGGGACAAATTCACTTAACAACAGTGAGAACTTAGTAACATAAATCTTGGGCTCAGTTGCGGTCATAAGTCAAGGACTACATGTAAACCTGTCTGTGATATTTTTCTTCAATTCCCCCCCAATAACTTCATTAAAGATTATATTAAAGAAATAGAAGTACATAATACAGAAATACATTAAAGAGGAAAAATGTTAAATTAAAAAGTGCAGAAAAAAACAGAAGGGGCAGAAAAAGAAGCCTCTTCCTTCATCCCCAGCAAGTATAATCAACATTAACAAATTATCACCACTTCATCCTTTAAAAAACAAAACAAAAAAACCCCTTCATTTGGCATCCAATTCCTTTTGTAAATCCATGATTCCCATCTTTTTCTTGTAGACTATATTTTTTAAAAAATCCATCTGTAAGTCAGTTTCAATTTTATTCAATGCGGTTTGTTCCCATTCAATTCCATTACGGAATTAAATAATTACAAAACTTCCTGGGCATTCCCAGTACATATTTCTTTTGAAACTACCATCTGATGCCCTCTAGCGTCCAATCTTCAAAGTCATTTTATCAGCATCCAAGTATTAACAAGGGGATTTTCCAAGGAGAACGGGGGCCTTTCCAGTTAACTTCAAAGTCTTACATTAAGCCCAACTGAGCCAATATTCCATTTAAATCTTTACAGTAATCGACTGTGATCACCCTTTTGCTATATATTCCAGGAAAAAAAACTTACAAAGCTGGAAACTTGTAATTTTCTGTCTTAACAGACTAAAGAAGAATCCACCTAATAAACCAGATTTATGATTTTGAAGGCTTCCAATCTTTCACAAGTAGCTAAAAAAAACAACCAAACAAAGTGATTAAAAATATGAGTTAAAGCTTGGGTCTGTAAAAGGCTACTTTAATAGCGTTGAGCTTGGTGAAATCCTGCAACTCCCAACTGGTTGTAAGAAACCACAAAAACATTAGTTTTTGCTATCTACTCACACAGTGGAATAAATGGATGGGCTCAGAGGATATTTTGGGAGCAGTTCAACTCCAAAGACAACTGAACACATATCTCGTAATCCAGGGATGGGGAACCATGGGTCTTTTATGTGACGTGATTGAGTTTGATACCTGTGTTCTACAGTGTCTCTGTGTGTCTGTATCTGACACACAGATTCTATTCTATTCTATTCTATTCTATTCTATTCTATTCTATTCTATTCTATTCTATTCTATTCTATTCTATTCTATTCTATTCCAGTCTAGTCTAGTCTATTCTATTCCATTCTAATGTACTTGCAATTCCTGCTTCTGCCTCTAGATGGTGCATTTTATTCATTTTATTCAACAACAGACAAATTGTTATTACATAACAATCTGGAAGAATAAGTGACAAGTCTGGGAGAAAAATAATAGTAAAGGATGAGCAAAAATGATTTCTGAATATCTTATATTTTGTAGCAATGGAAAATTTCACACTTAGATTTGTATTTTGAAAGGAGGTTGTATTAGTTTCTATATTTTCATAATCAATATGTTAACGATATATTTCTTACATCTTCACTTCACCCAATAGTCTTCTTCTTACTAATACATATTTAATGTTACATAATACATATCACATTCCTTTCTCTCTAACTTGTTTTTCTAGCCATTGTTAGAAATTGTCCCATGTTCTAAAGTATACTGAATATTCTTTTTCTTTTATCTTCAATGTCAATCTATCCATTTCCGCACAATCTAAGATTTTCTTAATTAATTCTTCCTCCGTTGGTAGGTTTTCATTTTTCCAATATTGAGCAAATGCTATTCTTGCTGCAGTTAATACATGTAAAATTAAGTATATAGATTCTTTCTCATAGTTTCCTACTATTATACCTAATAAAAACAATTCTGGCTTAAATTAATTTCTCTTTACTTCTAGCTTGGATCTCTCTTTATCAATCTTCTATCAATTACTTCTTGCCATATCATAAAAGCATAACAATCATTTAAATAATCAGAAGAGCAAATATCTAACATACTAAACTAATTGGCTTAGTATGTTAGATAATTAACTAATTAGCAAGTTATATGCAAAGCTGTTATTCTCCTCAAATACTCCAGTATTCAAATGTTTAAATGCTAAATATTTAAAGGTACAATTAGCTAAATGCTGCAGTGGCAGATGAGTGTTCCTTGAGGTTTACTTTTTGCTCAGGGTTTGCAAAAAAAAAAAAAAAGGACAATTTTCAGGATAAAAATATTGCAGCATTTAAAGAGGGAAGTTTTTAAGTCTCAGGGGCTGAAAATCCTACATAAGCAGCCTGTGAGGTAAACTTTAAAATACTCTTTCTTTGAAGAGTGCAGATTTAAACCATTTGGCGGTTGCCATGTGGAATGTTTCACTCAAGTGTGTAAAATTTCACATTCCTGTATAGGGTTCACTACAGAAAGGCATGGGGGGGACTATTAGTCTTTTATCTGAGCTTCTTAAGGTATTGTGAAAACTTTTATGGAGCTTTCAAGTTTTTTTCTCCATTCTCAGCCCAGACTCCAAAATCTGGAGAGCTGTAAAGATCAGGATTATTAAAAACCAATGTAAGAATCTTTTCAGCTGCAGAACCGCATGTGGAGAATGTCAGTGTTTAGTGGCAGGGTGGATTCAAATTTCAAGAATTTGAAACAAAGTGAAGTCAAGGACCAGGGGAGACATGATAGCAGTCTTCCAATATTTGAGGGGCTGTCACAGAGAGGAGGGGGTCAACCTATTTTCCAAAGCACCCGAAGGCCAGACAAGGAATAACGAATGGAAACTGATCAAGGAGAGATTCAACCTGGAAATATGGAGGAATCTTCTGACAGTGAGAACAATCAACCACTGGACCAGGAGTTGCCTTCAGATGTTGTGGGAGCTTCATCACTGGAAGCCTTCAAGAAGAGACTGGAATGCCATCTGTCAGAAATGGTGTATGGCCTCCTACTTAGGTGGGGTTTAGACTAGATGACCTCCAAGATCCCTTCCAACTATTATTATTATTATTATTATTATTATTATTATTATTATTATTATTATTATTATTATTATTGGGGAGGGGTGTCTGTTAAATTTAGACTTCACCATGGGTGCATTTTTAAAAAAGGGGATTGATGCCCCCCCCCGTTAGTGCTCCTTCTCTCTCCACATTCAAAGAAATGGAGACATCAAAGATAAGAGATGCTCAGACATTTCTTGTCTCAAGGAATCTCTTGAGAAGCTGTCAATCAACAGCAAAGCCTGATTTGCAAGAAAGGAATCTTAATCAATCAGAATAGAGCTGGAAAGGGACCTTGGAGGTCTTCTAGTCCAACCCCCTGATCAAGCAGGAGACTCTATACAATTTGAGACAAATGGCTGTCCAGTCTCTTCTTAAAAGCCTCCCCAACTTCTGGAGGCAAGCGGTTCCACTGGTTGATTGTCCTCCGTATTAGGAAGTTTCTCCTTAATTCCAGGTTGTTTCTCTCCTTGATTAGTTTCCATCCATTATTTCATGTCCTGCCTTCCCGGTGCTGAATCTTAATTCTGAATCTAAGTCTTAGATCAGTGTATCTCAACCTTAGCAACTTTAAAATGGGTAGACTTCAATTCTCAGAATTCCCCAGCCAGAAATACTGGGAGTTGAAATCCATACATTTTTGAAGTCTGCCATCTTAAAGTTGGTGAGGTTGAGAAATACTGTCTTAGATCGTCCAGAATTTTTTTTTTTTTTTTTGCAGACAGCCCCTGGCAAATCTGTCAGGAATTCTAGAGACAGCATGTGTGTCTCAATCACATAATTTTAATACAACCTGTTCCCACTTAAAAAAAAGAGAGAGAGAAGCCTTAATATACATATTTTAATCAGTGGTGCCATGTAGACCAGACTCTCTGGAACAAATCCAGAGCCAAAAGCTTAAGGGTGCCCCAATTCCAGCCTCCTGCTTTTTAAAGAATGCAAAAGTCATCAATCTCAATACTCTCCCCTTCTCTTTCTCCCCTCCTTCTCCTTCTCCTCCCCTGCAAATTCTTTGGAGATGGTAAAAAGTGAAATTAGAACAGCCTTGTTATGCAGCATACCCAAAGTTAAAGAAAAAAACAAAGTGTGAATGTTGTTGAGTGGTAACGGGAGAAGGAGGACAGACAAGAAGAACCAGCACGAGACCTTGGTGAAAGATGTGAGAATATCCAAGTGTCTGTATGTGGAACACTGGAGGACAACTAGCTGAGGGTCATGCCAACTCTGGTAGCACCACTAGAGCATACAGTAGATCATAGAACAGGGTTGGAAGAGACCCTGGATGTCTTCTACTCCAACATTCTACTCATTCCGGACAAATTGCTGTCCAGTCTCTTCTTGAAAGAATGATGAAGCATCCACAACTTCTGGAGGCAAGCCATTCCACTAGTTAATTGTTCTCACCGTCAAGAAATTTCTCCTTGTTTCTAGGTTGGATCTCTCTTTGACAATCTTTGATAATCTTCCATCTGAGATGCTTCGGAGCATAAGTCGACCCCCTCTTCTCTGTGACAGCCCCTCAAGTACTGGAAGAGTGCTATCGTATCACCCCTGGTCCTTCTCTACCTAGT